CTCGCGAGCATGTCCGCGCGCGGCGGTGTGCGTCCATCGTCGATCGATCGATCGCATCGAACGTCGATCGATCCCGCGACGGGGTCCCTCGGGAGTCATGACTCGTCGACGCGCGCGCGACGACGACGCGCGACGACCGCGCGCGCGGGCGACGACCGCGACCGAGGGACGCGCGCCCGTCGGTCTCGCCCTCGCGCGCGCGCGATCGGGGCGACGTCGACCTCGAACGCGAGCCGGTGACGCGCGAGGACGCGTGGTGCCCACATTGTCTCGGACGCGACGACGGGGTCGAATCGATCGGTCGCGATCGGCACAGAACGACGACTCGGTGGCCCCGGATGGACGACGTGGACGATGGGAGCGATGCCACGGCGCTCGCGACGCTCCTGGAGACGGTGGACGCGATGCGGACGCGGGTGGAGGCGGAGATGATGGGGGCGGCGGAGGGGGTCTCGGACGCGCGCGCGCGGGCGAAGACGCTCGAAGAGACGTTGCGCGAACGCGAGGCGCGGTCGGTGGAAGAGATCGCGTGCATCGCGGAAAATTGTGATGCGGTGGCGAAGAAGGCGAAGGAGTTGTTCTCGAGTTGACGGTGGGTGGACGCGGATGACGCGTGCGGACGGCGGGGCGCGCGGGCGATTCGACGCGAGGGATTTCAACCGACGGGCGACGTATGAATGAAGCGCTATCGTGTTTTAATGACGAACGGAAGTACTAGGGAGTATTAACCGAGCAAGTTGCCGGCCCCGGGGTTGGTCGCTCGCGCGGCGAGCGATTGCCAGGGAAGGTTGTGCGTGTCGACGCCGCTGTCTTGGATGGCGCCGATTTTTTGCAGAGCGTCTCGAGCCTCCACGACGTCGTCAAACCAGTGCTTCTCGCGACCGACGACAAAGTAATCCTTCGAGCCTCTGCCGAGGATGAGAACCACGTCATCGCGCTCGGCCATGCCGATGGCGGCTCGGATGGCGTGGAAGCGATCGACCATGACGTATCTACGAACTAAGTTCTGCAATCGCATGCACTCGTACTGGGCGTTTTCGTGCACCTCGTACATATCCTTCAAGAACGGGAACAGCGCCTCATCCTTGATCTTATCGTTCTCATAAATCTCATTTCTAAACCCGCCGCAAATATCGTCCAAAATTTTGTACGGGTCCTCCGTCTTTGGGGAATCGTTGGTGATGAACAAGACGTCCGACATGTCGTGCGCGACTTTGCCGATCACGGCGCGCTCGCCGCGCTCGTCTCCCATGTCGCCCTCGCAGCCGATGACGGTGATGACGCGTCGGCAATTCGCGGCACGAACGCTTTGAATCACACGCTCGATCCCCTCCGGCGTGTTTGCGTTGTCGACGAGGACGGAGAAGTCTTGTCCCATGTCAACGAGTTCCATGCGTCCCGGAATCACCTCGCACGCCTCCAAACCGGCGGCGATGACATCGAGCGAAATCTCCGCCGCCAACCCGATCGCGGTGGCGCAGCAGATTGGTCCGATCATGTGCTCACCAACGAGGCCGAGGACGACCTCGACGTTCCCCGCGGGCGTGCTCAGTGAGATTGCCGTCTCGAAGAGAGAAAAGTCTACGCGAGCTGGGTATACGTCGGCGGCGGTGTTCCCGATCTGCGTCGAGTACGTCACCACCGGCACCCCACTAGCGTACTCTCGGCATAAATCAGCGTCCTCTTCGTCTATGTTGATCACCCCGCGCTGGGTCTCGGCGTTTTCAAGCACCTTGAAGACGTCCGCCACGAACGAGGAGTACTCGGAATCCGCTCCGTTGTAGTTCTTTCTCGCGCCCTCGAACGAGGTCAGGGCGACGATGTCGAAGTTCATCCCTCTCGTCGCTTTGCGCCTGACTTGCTCTGCGCTCACCTCCATCACCGCCGCGTTGGCCCCGTTATCAGCGATGCCCGCGGTGAGTTGCTGAAACTGCAACGCATCCGCGCCGAGCTCCTCAAACTCGTACTTTCCTCGGTACGGCGCCAACCATCCCGGGGCGGTGGACGTGCGATCACGAGTCGTGTCCTCCTCGTCGCTCTCCCACACGCCGCCCTGCGTGGTGAGCTTCAGGTCGTCTTCCTCGAAATCCACCCTGACGTAGTTTCCGTTCGACCCGACGAGACCCATTTTAATATCAGCCGCCTCGAACACGGACTTCACCAAGTAAGACGTCGTCGTCTTCCCGACCGCCCCCGTGAGCGCGATCGCCGTCAACGCCGTGCTCGGATCACCGTAAAACACCCGCGCGATATCCGCCAGCGCTTCGTCCACGTTCGCCACGACGGCGCACGGGACGTCGGCGACGCCCTCCACGCGTTCGCTCGCCACGATCGCCACCGCCCCCGCCGCGACCGCCTCGCGCGCCAACGACGCGCCCGCCTCCCCCCCCACCGGGCAGACAAACAAATCACCACTGAGCAACGCGTTGATATCGTTCGCGATTCCACTAATCTCCACGTCCTCGTCCTCGTCCACGCCGTACCACTCCGCGTCAACCTCCGCGTCGGCGAAAATCTCCCTCAGCAACGCCTCCGCGTCCACCTCCGCGTCCGCATTCGCCGCGCTCGCGCGCACCACCTCAAGCCGCGCGCCCGCGCGCCCGTGATCCACCCCATCGCCCTCGCGCGTCCACCGCGCGCCCACCGTCCGTCCCGGGCGTCGCGTCGATCCGCCCCCGCGTCGCCGTCCCGCGCCCATTCCGACCCCCCACGTCGTTCGCGCCGTCGCGTTCGCGCCGCGAGACGTCCGCGACGTCGCGGCGGACATCCCGCACGCCGTCACGCCCTCTCGCCCGTCCGCACGCCCTCGCGCGCGTCGCGGAGACGCGTCGACGCGCCGCCGCCGCCGCGCGTCGCGTCGGGACGCTTTTTGTTTTGTATCGCGTCATTCGTGTCCCGAGTCCCGCCTTCGAGGTGTCTCGAGCGGTGTCAACGCGACGACGGCGCGCGCGGTGGGGGTCGGTGGGTAGGGTTTAGAAAGTGCGCGCGCGACGGTGGGTAGGGTTTAGAAAGGGATCGGTCGACGGTGGGTAGGGTTTAGAAAGTGCGCGCGCGACGCGATCGCCCCATCGCGCTCGACGCGATCGCTCGACGCGCGCGCGCGGGCAAAGGCGGGCGCGTCGACCGGGACGGATGCGCGCGATGCGCGCGCGCGGTGGCGTCGCGATCGACGTCGACGCGTCGACGCGGACGCGGGGAAAGGGAAGGATGGCGCGATCGGGCGCGCGGCGCGAGACGCGGGCGAGCGCGCGCGCGCGGGCGTCGTGCGCGCGGGCGTGGACGGTGAACGATGCGCGACGCGCGCGGTGGTCCACGCGCGCGCGCGCGCGGACGGAGCGAGAGCGAGAGGTGGAGGAGGTGACGAAGAAGTGGGGATTGGAGGCGGGCCTGTGGCGGGTGTGGAAGAGCGACGCGAAAGCCGAGGGCGGTGGTGACGGTGAAAACCCGGTCGGGGAGTCGCTGTCGCGAATGGATATGGCGAAGAATCTGCTGAAGCGGTACGGGAGCGCGTACCTGGCGACGTCGATCTCGTTGTCGTTGATTTCTATTACGGTTTTTTATTTCCTCGTCGCGGGGGGCATCGACGTCGCGGCGCTCTTGGAAAAGATTGGAATCACGGTGAACGCGACGAGCGAACAGTTTGGGACGTTTGCGTTGGCGTACGCGGCGCACAAGGCGAGCTCGCCGATCAGGTTCGGGCCGACGGTGGCCTTGACGCCGCTCGTCGCGCGTTGGATGGGTAAAGACGTCGACGACGCGGAGGAGCGGACGACGGACGAGACGGACGGCGGCGCGCCGTGAGGTGATATCACGAAGTGTACAAGATGATATCACGAAGTGTACAAGACGAAGACGAGAACGGCTCTCCGATCGAAGCGAGCGAGTATAATATTAAACACGTCGACCGAACGCCGAACGTAATCAATCGCGCTCGCCTCACACCCCGACTGTCGACGCGAACGCCGCGCATGCCGCGCGCATCGACGCGAGCGATCGCGCTCACCGTCGTCGCCCTCGTCGTCGCCCGCAGCGCGTCCCCGGTCGCCGCGTACGTCGACGTCGGCGCGCGCGGCGTCCCGACGCTCACCGATGAAAACTTTGAGCGCGAGACGCAAACCTCCAGCGGTTCGTCCTCGGGCGATTGGCTCGTGTTATTCACCGACGCCGATAGCATTCGAGGCGCTCGAGCCGCTCGGACGCTCGCCGCGGCGCGCGAATCGTTGTTGGAGCGCGGCGTCGTGGCGAGCGAGCTCGACTTTGAGCGCGCGCCGGAGACGACGGATCGGTTCCGGTTCGTCGTCAAGCGACGACCGAGCGTGGTGCTTATAAAGCGAGGGAAATGCTACGCGCGAGAGGTGAACGGTGAGGAGAGCGCAGAGGAGATGACGGAGTTTGCGACGAAGACGTACGCGACGACGAGCGAGACGAGCGAGACGTGTCCGCAAGAGTTGACCTTCATCCAGAAAAAGTTCGCGCGAGCGACGACGGCGCTGGCGATGGGGTTGGTGCGCTTGCACGATCGCGTGGAGCGGATGTCGCACGCACTGAGGGAGGATTACAAGGTTGTGGCGGCGACGCGGCGCGCGAGCGGAGTTCGCGCCGCTCTGCGCGCAGTGGAGCGAGTGATGACGGAGAGCTCGAACGAGTATGGGCTCTTGCTCGTCATCGTCGGGTTGGTTGTGATCGTCACCGCGGGAGCGCTCGCAGTGGTGACGTTTCCAACGGCAGCGGCGTCGACGCAGGCGACGAAGGCGAAGACAGAGTGAAGGAGACAGTTACGCGTAACATCGAGTTGTTTTCCTACCTATCGTTTCTACCTACAATCGTCGCCGAGTAGCGACTGCTAAAAATTACATTTCTCCCTCCTGCGGACCGAGATCGCCCGCCTCGAACTTCTTGACGTCAAAATAACTCGCCTTGACTACGCGATTCGCGAATACGTTTCCGTGAAGATTCTCCAACGCGCGAGTCGCGGCTTCCTCGTCGACGAATTCGGTAAATATTCGCACGGCCTCGTCTATGGCGAAACCGTCCTCAGTGATCTCAAAAATGAGCACGCGAACGACGTCGCCGTACTTTTCGCACTCGTCTGCGACTTGGTCCTCTGTTGCTTCAGTGACGCCGCCGGCGAGGACGATGTTTCGCAACAACAGAACCCTCGTCGGTGTCGGTGAAGGATCGACACTTTTACCTTCTGACGTTTCGCCGAGTCCGAGTCCACGTCCTGTGGACGACGTTATCGCGGACACGTCGAACACTGGTCTCGCGTTGATGATTTTCCCAGTGGCACCCGCCGAGTCTTTTCGCACCTCCAGCGGCGTCGTCATTCCTTGCTCGTCCTTTCCAAGACCCCGTCCTTTGGTCCAACCCATCTTCTCCATCATCTTTTCTGCCGCGCTCATCTTCTTCCCGCCCCCCGATGGTTCACCCGTCGATGCCTCGGCACCAACTCGCGTCTGCGCCAATCGACGCCGCCGCACGTCCGTCCCGCTCTCCTCCAATAAAACCCTCAACCGTCGCTCCCTCACCCCTGTGCGCTCATCTTGAGCCTCTGACTCTCTCCGCTTTCGCTCCTCTCGCTCGAGCCTCTCGCGCACCCTCGTCTCCTCTCGCGCCGCCGCCGCGCGCGCTCGGCGCTCGCGAAGCGTCCGCTCGTAATCATTCGGCGCTCTCGGATCGTAACGATCACCCGTCGCGCCCTCTCCCAAATTCGTTTCAATCACCACCGTCCGCTCCGCTTCGCCACGCGTCTCCTCGATCGCGTGCGCTTGATTCTCTAACCTCTTCCGTCTCGCGAGCGCTCTCGCGCGTTCCTCCGCGTCGCGCTTCGTTCGACTCCTCGCCAATCGCAACGCGCTCGCCTGCGCCCTCGACGCCCACGCGATCGAAGCCGTGGGCTTTTTCTCCTCGCCCGACCCCTCCGCGCGCGCCGTCGTCGTCGTCGCGCGCGGTTTTCCATTTTCTGACATCTCACTCGCGCGAGCGTGTACGCCTCCATCGTCGTCGCCATCGCCCTCGACGTCGCCTCGCGCCGCGGGAAGATCGTCGTACAGACCACCCATGCGTTGCCGCCGCGCGCGGCGCCCTGGGCCCCCTGAGAACGCGTCGCGGTGTGCCTTTGCGCATTCGATGATTTCCCAAAGCACCGCGTCTCCGTCCGTCTCGCCGCACACGTCCACGCGCGCCGACGACACCGCGGGGCGACGCGAACGTCATGCCATGCGTCGTCGGTGGGATCGACCGCGGACGGGCGCGGGGCGACGCGCACGGCGTGGGCGATGGAAACGATGCGACGATGACGAACGTTTGGAGATTCGCACCGAGCGACGGCGACGCGCGGACGAACGACGGGCGCGACGCGCGAACGAGGGAGACGGAGGCGTCGATGATGTTCTCCGCGCACGGATCGCGAGGGGAGGTGGTGCGCGTCGGCGTCGGGCGCGGTGCGGGCGTCGACGGCGCGGTCGGGGCGAACGGGACGCGCGCGAGCGCGGCGTTCGTGAGCGACGACGCGTGCGTCGTGTTCGGGAGCGGAAAGCGAGGGGTGTTGATCATGAATGCGTACGACGAGGGAGGAGGGAGCGTGCGGGTGATCGAGGGGGAGGATGGATCGGAGGGAACGACGCGGGCGACGCCGACGGTGTGCGCGGCGACGCGGACGCCGAGCGGACGCGCGAGCGCGGTGGTCGGTGACGCCGATGGCGATCTGTACGAGATCGTGGGGGATATTGCGAACGGGAAGTTGAGTATTCGAGCGTTCGATCGAAAGAATCGAAGTCACTGGGTGGACGACATGCACGACGACGAGGAAGCAGGGGGCGAAGGCCAGGCGACGGCGTCGCCGACGAAGACGCCAGGGAAGAATCGCGCGTGGGGGGCGCTTCGCTCGGCCACGATGGCCGCCGGGGGGTTATTGAGTCGGAAGCACAAGCCCGGGGGCGTGCGCTCGCTGAGCTTTGTCGATGGGTCGAGCGAGACAAGAAAACGGTTGCTCGTGTGCGTCTCCGACGGGGCGCTCGAGGAGTGGTCAATCGATGTCTCGAACACGCCGCGACCGGCCAAGCTCGCGCACGCGCACAACATCGTGAAGCAAATTCAGCGCGCGCTCCGCACGAGCTCCAACGTCTCGTTCGTCTCCGCTGATTGGACACTGACAGATGTGGGAGTGGACATCACCCTCCTCGTCGAGTGCGACGGCAAGGGTTCCCTCCATCGCTTCCAGCGAGCGCACGGCACCGACGCGTTGGAGATCGTCGCATCCGCAGTTCCCGCCGCCGGAGCACTTCCAAACAACCTCAATCGCGTGCGATTGTACGTCGAAGGTGAGGACACCTTTGTGCTCGCTGAGGATGGCTCTGCGGCTATGTTTACAGGTTTGGACTACTCGCGCGTGTTGGCGCGCATGGACGCGTCCAATCACGAGCCTATCCTTGATGTGAAGTGCGTACGTCCGGGAGAGTGGGTTCTCCTATCGGATGAAGGCGGGGTCACGACATTCAATCCTCACACGAGACAGACCACTCCGCGCCGTGCTGGAAAAGTGACTCCGAACAAGCGTACTTCGCGCGGGGACGGTCCGAGTGCCAACGCGGTGGACGATGCCGACGCGATCGAGTGCGTTCGTACGGAATTTGAGAATTACCTCGCCGGACAAAGCGGCTCGCGTGATCAGACAAAGTCGCGACTCCGCGCGGCGGGAGCCTTCGTGAGCGAGGCTGTGCCGTTTGCAACCATGAGCAAAAGCTCGATCGATGCGCTCCCCAAGAAGTTGTCGGGGAAGTCCAATCGCGGCGGTCCATCAATCGAAGAGCATGTCGCGGAAAAGATTGGCCGTTACTTGAGTTTCCTGGACTTTTTGACGGAGAGTGGAGTCTGGAACGACATCGACTCGGATGAGCGCTTGGAGATTTTGACGCACGGAGAGATGATCTCTGCGACTTCAAGGTTTGTCGACCTTAAGAATACGGCGGACGATGAAGCGAGGACAATCTTAGAGGAAATCGCGACGCACGCAGGAGCGGAGATGAAAGCCATCGACAGCGCTTTAGACGAGAGATCCGATCTCGAGGTTTGCTTTAGCCGCTCGAGCGAAGTGTGCTCCATGTTCCCAGCCACGGCCTCGGTCCTCGAGAAGCGACTCAAGGAGGACAACGACTTAGAAAAACGAGCATTGATTTTGGACACATGTGCTCGCGGCTTGCTCGTTTCCATCGAGGCTGCGAACGACTTCAGAAGGCGACGCACCACAATGTATCCGCACTCGGCAAGCTCCGGCGTTAGCTGGATGTGTGAGATGGAGGCGCGCGAGGCACTGCACGCTTTGGCGAGCGTCACGATCAAACTTCAGGCCGAAGCCGCGGAAAGCACCACGGGCGTGGGTCTTGGGCCAGTTCTCGGATCTCGTTTGCAGGCTGTGGCGGCTCCGTTGCTTGACGCCTGCGCTGCGTACCTGAACGCGGCTCTCCCGCATTCGACTGCACGTATCGACGCGCACGATGAATACGTCAAGAATCGGACAATTCTACTCTCCGCCTTGCTCAACTGCGCGAAGCAGAGCGCGACGGTTCCTCAACAATCCAGACCGCAACACGGTCCGTTGACGGAGGGTGTGGATGTCACCATTGAGTCAGTGGCGGCGGTTGCAGAGGCGCACTTCGGTTACGCCGAGCTCTTCGAAATTTGTGACACTGCGGGTGGTGTTCCACGATTGCATCACTACATGCGAACGCTCCTCGGTGCGCAAGAGGACGGTGAAGAGAGCTTTGCACACTTTGTTTATCAGAAGTTGGCCATTGAGCAAGATCGAGACGCGGTGCTTTTACGCGATCTCCCGGTGGAGTTCCACGGCGACTTGGAACGGTTTTTGGCGTCTCATCCTGATCTTCGTTGGTTGATGGAGCTTCGCGTCGGTAAGTATTCGGAAGCGAGCGAAACTTTGGCCGCCATCGGAAACCGAGACGGCGCTGATGCACTCAAGAAGCGTCGAGCGTTGTCGCTGGCAAAATTAGCGCTGCTCGCCGCAGGAGGTAACGTCGAAGATCGAATGGATGTGATCGACACCGCCCTTGCGGCCTGAATTCGCACTCTACGAATGATAGATACGACTACAAACACTAATACTAGTTCACCCACCACAAAAGACTCAAAATACCTTGCCGGCGACTATACCAGCGAACACGAGGGCTCCGTACGTCGAATTGCTACGAAATTTCGCCGCGCAGTCGTCTCGGTCGTTCAAATCAACAGTGGAAATCTGCCATGCCAAATGCGACGCCGCTGCCCCGACGCCGAGATAAAATGGATAGTCTAGGCCCACGTATGCTCCGGACGCGCACAGCGCGGATGTCCCCGCGAGCGCAAACGCGGATAAATACTTCTTCGTGTCCGCCCCGAAGTGGAGCGCGGTCGACTTCACCCCGACCTTGGCATCGTCGTGTTTATCCTGGTGCGCGTATATAGTGTCGTACACTAGCGTCCACGCAACACCGGAGGCGTACAGCGGGAGCACCGCCCCCCAGTCGCACGAACCGTGCACGGCGGCCCAACCGAGGAGCGCTCCCCAATTAAACGTCAACCCGAGGAAAGCCTGGGGCCAGTTGGTCACGCGCTTCATCGCTGGATACGCCGCGACGAGCGCCAGCGAGCTCGCTCCTAAGATTTTCGAGTAATCGTTCAACTGCACCAACACGCCGAGGCCGAGCGCGAGCTGCGCGCCGAGAAAAGCCACCGCCATGGGCACGCTCACCGCCCCGCTCGCGATCGGACGATTTCGCGTTCTCGCCACCTTTGCGTCGATATCCCGATCCCATAGATCGTTGATGGTGCACCCCGCCCCTCTCAAAAGAAACGACCCGACTCCAAACAAACCGAGCAGCCGCGCGTCCGGCGGCGCGCCGACCTCCGCCGCGAGCGCGATGGACCAAAAGCAAGGCCAAGCCAAGAGCGCCGTCCCTATCGGTCGATCCAACCGAATTAATTTCGCGTATGGGACCGCGAGCGCGGGTACGATCTCGTCGACCCACGTGCGTTCCGCCTCGGGCGCCGGCGCGTCGCTCGAAACAGACGCTGGAGACTGCGCGCGTCCGCTCGATCCATCGAGCTCCCTCGACTCCTTTCTCTCGGGCTCCACCGCGGACGACGCGAATGAACGCGCGCCGTTCGACGTCGTCCAGAGATCGAGCGAAGGCGCGCGGCGCGAGCGCGTGTTTCCGAAAGATGTCGACGACGACCTCGACGAGCGCTCTTCATCGACGCTCGCGCACGCGCTCGCGGACGACGAGGCGAGTGCGCTCGAAGACGCGCGCGTGATAACGTCAACTCGCGCGAATGAGCGACACGCGCGCCTGGACGCGAGGATGAGCATATCGAACGAGGCGAGATGTGCGTTGGAGGCGCCGCGGCGCGTTCCGAAAAGCAAAGTCGCAAAGTCGAGCGACGATGCGGACGACGGCGGGTGTGCGAATTCGAGAAATTTAATAAAATACGATTTTATGCGAGTGAAAAACTCACCGTTCGTCGTCGTCCTCGGCCTCGGCCGGGGTGAACGTCCTCGCCATGCGCACGCTCGCCCGCACCGCGTTGCCCGCGTACGCGACGCGTTCCTCAGCCTGTTCCGCCGTCGCCCCCGGACCGATGATCCCCATACCCACCGGTTTCCCGTACTCCAACTCGAGCTGTTTCGCGATGATGGAGAACGTCGACCCCATCTCCTGCCCGTGAAGCGTCGACCCCTTTTCGATGTATCCCAGCACCACGCACGCGTCCAGCGTCGGGTCCTGCAACATATTCTCAACAACCAACGGGGCCTCGTACGTCCCCGGCACCCACATCACTCGATCGATCGTCGCTCCCATGGTCTCCGCCGCCACTCGGGCGTCCTCCAGCATGCGATCCATGAGTTTATTGTGGAACTCTCCCACGCACACGCCCAGGCGCACCGGTTCCCGACTGCCGTCGCCCACGTGCGTGATCACCGTGTTCGCCCACTTCTCTCGCGCCTCCGGCTCGGCGTATCCCCACCGCACGACGTCATCCGTCTCCTGGACGCTTCCCGGGGCGTGATGCGCGTACTCCCGCGGGAGCGGCGCGCGTTCATTCGCGCGTCCACGTTTCTTTTCGGACGACCCTTTCGCCGCCGCGCGCACTGTTCGCGCGCGATGTCCCGGACGCGCGGTCGCGCGCGCGCGCGCGAACATCGTCGCCGTGCCTCGATCCATCGCGCGCGTCGATCACGCCTCTCGCGCGCGCGCGAGCGACGGGCGCGCGCGACCGCGCGTACACGTGCTAAACCCTGGTTCGACGCCCGCGCGCGGGTCCCGGGCGGCCGTCGCGCGCGACATCGAACGCGCCCGTAACATTCGCGACGTCATCCGCGCGCGCGCGTTCGATGTCGTGCGATGGCGTCGACGAGGCACGATTGTACTAATACAGGATCGTATTCTACATTTCGTACACCTAATCAGTTTTCTCCAAATGAAAACAAGCTTCTTACCTCAGACGACGACCGAGAAGGCGGCTCGCCCGAGCTCGACAATCCGCTTCGCGCTCGCGTCGGCGACGCCACGCGTCGCCCGCGTCGCGCTAGCTTGATGAAGGCCCTGTGAGACACATTCCGATCACGGCGGACGGCGAGTCGTCAATTCTGATGAGTGTACACCCCACCCTTTTGCCATCGCGGCTGGTTTCTTCGCCAACGCCGCCGCGCTGGCACCGTACGGAGGCGGCGCCGACGGTTCCGTCTTCCACTCTCTTCGCGCGACGACGGCGATCGATCGACGCACCGATCGATGTACCGATCGATCGCCAAAGGCATCGACCGATCGATCGCCAAAGACATCGACCGATCGATCGCCAAAGGCATCGACCGATCGATCGACCGATCGAATGTCCCGATCGATCGCCAAAGACATCGTGTACCGATCGATGTCCGACGGTGAATCAATGACGTCACAAACTAGTACGGCGCCAGGCGATTCGCGATCGAGCGCGTGGAGATTTGGGGAGTCGATCGAGACGAGGTGCTGAAGAAGCGTACTGAAATGGACGAGAAATCGAGATCGAGAGTCGACGAGAAACGCGGTATCGACGAGAAACGCGCCGACGCGCGGTTCATGACCCAGTTCACGTCGGCAGCCGCGCGCGCGACGGATTCGGGGAGTCGATGAGAGACGTGCTTGTAATTCTATCCCGTCCGCGCCCCGCGGTCGTACCCGCCTCACCCTAAACCCTAAACTTCGAACCCAATTCCCCTAGAATTAGGGTCTAGAACACAAAATACCCTAAAAGTCGAGGAACGCCACCGGCGAGCGGCACACCCCGCCGCGATGCGTCCGGTGGCGACGCGTCGCGGCGGGGGGCGACGCGATGCGGACGCGAAAAAAAAAAAAAAAAAATGCGACGCGATGCGGCCGCGCGCGACGCGACGCCTGCGACGGCGACGACGCGTCGTCGCGTCGGCACTCGGCGCGCGCGCGATTTCGAATTGTCGCGCGCGACGGCGGCGCGCGAATTCGACTCGAACGCGAACGTTCCGTGCGCGCGCGCGCGACGACATCGACGAGGGAATAAAGGTACGTCTCGTTCGCGGACGATGCGCGGCGCGACGCGGAGTCGCGGCGCGGAGAGGGGGCGATCGGTCGAGATCGCATCGCGCGCGCGCTGTTCCCCGGCGGCGCGTGCATCGCGCCGCCGGGGAGCGCGCGAGCGCGCGATGACGACGGGCGCGCGCGCAAGGATGCGTCGATTTGTTTCACGTCGCGGTGCGCGCGCGCGGGCGACGGCGTCGACGACGGTGACGCGTTCGTTCGATGCGCGCCGATGGCGGATTAATAACTAACTGTCCGCCGTGGACGCGCAGGACGGGAGCAATGCCGCGGGGATACCGCGGTGGATACGACTACGCATTCGCGGGGTGGAGGAAGCGAAACCGTGAGGCATTCGTGGAAGCGTCCTCTGCTGCTAACGCACGTGTTGGTTGGCCAGTCGGGGGTCGCGGTGGCGCGGATGCCAAAGCTAAAGCCAAAGCCGAGGCGGACGCCGAGTCGGATGCGGCGAACGCGCGCGTCGCGTTCGCGGCGGAGGCGACACGCGTCGCTCTCGGCGACGTCACGAACGCCGCGAGGCGAGACGAGGCGGCGCCGAAGGCGGCGAGCGGAGTCGGATTGGAGGCGCCGGTGGAGAACGACGCGCCCAAAGATACCGCTGGTGGTGTCGCGGCGGAGGCGACACGCGTCGCTCTCGGCGACGTCACGAACGCCGCGAGGCGAGACGAGGCGGCGCCGAAGGCGGCGAGCGGAGTCGGATTGGATGCGCCGGTGGAGAACGACGCGCCCAAAGATACCGCTGGTGGTGTCGCGACGGCGGCGACGCTCGCGTTGAAATACGTCACACGCGCCGCCGGGGACGGACTCGGAGGAGCACCGGTCGTCACCTTGGAGGTGTTTAATGCCGAATTGTGCGCCAAGACCATGAACAATGAGACGGTGCGCGGCGTGGATTTCGAGAGCATCATCTCAGACATTTACTCGCGCGTCTCACCGAGCGCGTGCGCGCCGGACAGGTTCGCGCATTGGCTCGCGAGTGAAGCGCCATTGTTCGCGGCGACGGGGCTGCCGAAGGTCGACATGATGGATGATGATGAAGCGTGTCGCCAACGTGCATTTCGACGTACCACCAGTTCAACAAACGCACAGTGGTCCTCCCCGCTCAACGCGGCGGAGTCAAAGTATGCGTGTCAAAATCTTAACGCGGTTCGCGTCGCGGCGATGGCGCTGGACGCGAGCGAATTCGAGTTGCGTCAGGCTTTGGAAAAGGTCGAGACGGCCGCGGGATCGATGGTGCGATATCTGAACGTACGCGGGTGCTATCACTACAGAATTCGCACCGACGACGGACTCGTGTTCGCGTACGTCGGGGAAAGTGTCGATGTAGAGCGACGAATCAACGAGCACTTGACGGCGCTGCTCGGCGACGGGCGCGCGCACGACATTCAGCGAGGACACGCACTCGTTCGACGAGCCCAAAAGGGCGACGACGACCATGCTGATGCTGATTTTCAATGCAGTTTGTGGGTCATTCACGGACAGGATGAAGCGAGCGCGGTCGAGTTGGCGAAGACGTACGTGAGAACGTGCGCGTCGACGCCGTCGATTTTGGAAGTCGCGCGCGCGATTGCGAGCACCGGATTCTTCGTCGAAGCGGTATTCACCGCGCACTACGGGACCTTGCACGAGCACACCGCGGACGGCGTCGTCGGAATGAACTTTTCTCAGCCCGGTGTGTGCCATAACAGAGGGGTCACCCGCGAGGATACGTGGAACGAGATCAGAGAGACATTCGGAAAGAAGACGCGATGTACGAAGACTTTGCCGGCATTCACGTGCGGACGGTGCGACAGAGATTTTCCGCAAGGAAAGTCGCGAAGTCACTCCCACGGAGACGGCCATGGACGCGTGTGCGACACTTGCTACAACAACGCTTTGTATGCAAAGAAGCCGCAGTTTCAGTGCCTTGAGTGCGACAGAGAGATGCAAGGGAAAAAAAGTTACCGCGGAGACGGCGATGGACGCGTGTGCGCAAGATGCTACCAAATCACTTTACTCGCAAAACAACCACCGTTCACGTGCGCGCTATGCTCGCATGCGGTTTCTCGAGGGAAGCGGAGTTACCGCGACAGAGTCAGCGGTGGACGCGTGTGCGACACTTGCAACAAAGCTCGCTACAGGAAATGCCTCGCGTCCACCCGCGAAATGTGATACGAGTAATAACTTTTGTAACGGGTAATCGGTGAAGAACTGAATTCAATGCAAGCTCTTTGATTAAAAATTAAAAGCCTTCGCAAGGTGTACAATCAACATTTCGCAAAGAAACACTTACTGAACATTCTGACGTCAGCGAGAGCCATCGGGGACGCGGCAAAGGCAAGTTTGAAAGAAGCTGAAGATGATCCACTTGATGAGGCTGTCGGCGCGCACTCGACTTCCTTTCAAGGAGATCTCCACGTCCTCGTTGGGAAAGAAAACGATAATTCAACGAAACGTCGTCGTTCTCTGCTTGAAATCGTCGGTAAGAGTTCACGTCGACCACGTCGCTTCTCACATTCACCATGATGTCATGTAACTTAAGTTTCGAAAATCTCACACCTCGTGCATTTTCCAAATATTTTGAAGAGTGGGGTCTTTTTTTTTATTTTCGCGTTTCGCCAGCGCGTCCTACGACGCACACGCCGCGCAACGCCCGCACACCGTCCACACGATAACTGCGGGCGGGCCTATCGCGTCGAAACGACCATGAAACCGCGCGTCGCGTCGGGCACGCGTCGGTGAGGAAAGATGGAATTGGAAAAAATTGGAAAACTAGAACGACGACGCCGCGCGCGCCGCGCACGGCGTCGCGCCCTAGTGGCGATCTACACCACACCTGTATACTGTGTTTGAACGAATCACCACATCTCGCGACGTGCGGTGCTCGTCGCAGCCGCGCATCTCGCGCGAGTCGCCGAATGGGCGATTTCGAAGACGGTAGCCTTTTCCCGGCACCTTCTCATGCCGAAATTTGTACAAGGTAAAACACAAGTTGGAGTACCCCCCTCATACTGTTTACCCATACATGACGTGACGGATTATGACTCAAGAAAAGGTGTGCACAACCTACCCCGAGATTAGTCAAAATCCGAACGTACCGATCGATCGCCAAAGACACCTCGATCGATCGCCAGCGGCGACGTCGCGCGGTAACCGCCTCGTCGCGGACGCGACGCGTTATCCGCGCGCGACACCGCGCGCGGACGACCGCGGGCGATGGCGACGCGCGCGATCGCGAGTGCGCGATCGCGTGCCCCCGCGCGCGCGCGCGAGGGGACGTCCCTCGCGCGCGCGCGACGGTGGACGCGATCGCCCCATCGCGGCGTCTCGGGACGACGGTCGCGCGCGACGCGATGGACGCTCGACGCGGTCTCCACCGAGGACGCGGAGGGGTGGCGACGGGAGACGTCGAAGGCGAAGGAGACGAGGCCGACGCGGACGACGGTGGCGGACGCGGGGCGTGGGGTGGACGACGTGCACGCGCGGACGCGCGTCGCGCGCGAGGCGAAACGGCGAACGGCGCCGCGCGGCGTCCCGGGCGTGTGCGACACCCCTCGGAGGGGTGACGCGAGCGCTCTGGGAGCGACGCGAGTGGTTGGATGTCCGGATGATACGGTGAACTTTGCGGTGTACACGAGCGCGGCGACGGCGGTGAGTTTGGTGCTGTGGACGCCGGAGGGACTGGCGCGCGGAGAGATTGCGGGCGAGATCGAGTTGGACGAGACGACGAATAAGACTGGGAGCGTGTGGCACGTCGCGCTGCCGCGGTGCGCGGAGGATGTGCTGTACGGGTACAGGGTGGACGGGCCGTACGAGCCGGAAGCGGGGCACAGATTTGATAAGAGCAAGATTTTGCTCGACCCGTACGCAAAGTTCACCGTGAGTCGACCCGAGTACGGAGTCGCTTCGAAGAAGGAGGACGGGACGGAAGATTGCTGGCCGCAGTACGCGGGTGGGGTGCCCAAAAAGTTGCGGAGCGATGGGAAGGAGGATTTTGATTGGGAGGGCGTGACCTCGCCAAAGCGCCCGATGCGAGACTTGGTTGTGTACGAGGCGCACGCGCGCGGGTTAACGGCAGATTTGGAGACCAAGGCGAAACCGGGAACGTACGCCGCGATAGAGGAGGCCCTTCCGTACTTAAAACAGCTCGGTGTGAACGCAATTGAGCTCATGCCGTGCCACGAGTTCAACGAAATGGAGTATCACAGCCTGAACCACGTCACCGGCGAGTTCAGGCGTAACTTTTGGGGATACAGCACCGTGAACTTCTTCAGCCCGATGACGAGGTATGCCGAGGCCGGGGCGGACGATTGCGGACGCGAAGCGGCGAGAGAGTTCAAGCGAATGATTCGAGAGTGCCATCGAGCGGGAATAGAGGTCATCATGGACGTTGTCTTCAACCATACCGCGGAAGGCAACGAGCAAGGCTTGACGCTGTCGTTCCGAGGTTTGGACAACCGCGTGTACTACATGGTCGCTCCAGAGGGACAATTCTACAACTACAGCGGGTGTGGCAACACGATGAACTGTAATCATCCCGTCGTGCGCGAGTTCATCTTAGAGTGCCTTCGGTATTGGGTCCTGGAGTATCACATTGACGGCTTTCGATTCGACTTGGCGAGCATCCTCACGAGAGCTTCGAGCATGTGGGATCGCGCGAACATTTTCGGTGAACCCACGGCGGAGACGCCGATGTTGGAGGAAGTGGTCATTGGTACGCCACTCCAAGATCCGCCGCTCATCGATGCCATCAGCAACGATCCGGTTCTGGCTGGCACAAAGCTCATCGCCGAGGCGTGGGACGCCGGAGGCCTGTACCAAGTCGGGTCATTCCCGCATTACGGCGTGTGGTCAGAGTGGAACGGTAAGTTCCGTGACGATGTTCGCAATTTCATTAAAGGCGTCGACGGGTACGCCGGTTTGTTTGCCGAACGCTTGTGCGGAAGTCCCAACCTTTATGCCGACAGAAGTCCGTCCGCGAGCATCAACTTTGTCACCGCCCACGACGGTTTCACTCTTCGCGACTGCGTGAGCTACAACGAGAAGCAGAACCATGCGAACGGAGAGGAAAATCGCGATGGAGAAGAGCACAATGCCTCCTGGAACTGTGGCTTGAGCTGTGATGACGACGGAGAGTGCTGGGATCCCGAGATAGTCGCACTGCGAGATCGACAAATGCGCAACTTCGTGGTGGCGCTCTTCGTCGCTCAGGGCGTTCCGATGATGTATATGGGCGATGAGTACGGCCACACTAAGTGCGGCAATAACAACACGTATTGTCACGACAATGCGTTGAACTGGATCGATTGGAGCGAGGCGTCGAGCCCACTCGCGGGTGACGGTCTCGCGCGTTTCACAAAACAAGTCATCGCGTTGCGGAAGAAGCACAGCGCCTTCCGTCTCGATTCGTTTCCGAGCGCCGATAACATTCAATGGCACGGTCACCTTCCGGATACTCCGATGTGGGACGAGGAGTCGCGATTCGTGGCCTTCACCCTTCAGGACAAGCCCGAGACGGATAAGTTTTACATCGCCTTCAACTCTCACCACGAGCCGGCAATGTTAAAGCTCCCGTCACCACCTGAAAGATGCAAGTGGAAGCTCATCCTCGACACCTCTTTGGAATCACCGTTCGATGTCCTCTCCGCCGAGGACATCGCGGAGGCGGATTCGTACACGGCAGAGGCAATGTTTTTGCCGGGACTTCGCAAAAACACCTACCTCTGCGCCGATCGCTCCGCCGTCATCTTCCGAGCCGTTTCGCTCGCGTGATCGCCTCGCTCACCGACGCATTCATTCACTACGAATAACATTCTTTGCTTCTTTCTCTCTCCCTTGGCGGTGTTGAATATTCATTCATTCGTGTACAAATCCGACCCCGCCGTCGCGCGTCGCGACACCCGACCGACCGACCGACCGACCGACCAACGACCGACCGGTCGACCGGTCGACGTCGCGACTTCCCGACGCGCGCGATGGACGACGCCGTGAAACCGCGCGCGCCCGTGCAACCGATGCGAATGATCCGCGACGCCCACACCGGGGTCGACCGCGATCCGACGTACGCCGAGGCGGTGACGTACGCCCGAGCGCTCCCGAATGGGGCCACATCGGACGATTTCACCGGTCTGCACAAATGTCGCGGCGGTGACGCGTGCTCGGGATGTTTTCGACCGCTGTGCGCGGTGTGTCCGATCTGTGCGTATAATTGTCCGTGCGGCGCGGGGTGCACGGACGTGATCTGGTGCTTGTGGGGCATCCCGATTCCGTTGTTTTCGTGCGTCACCGCGTGCGCGTGTCGAGAAGGCGACGAATCCGGCGCGTTCATCGCCAGGGATAAGCAGCAGATGAAGAGCTGCGCGCTCGTACCCCTCGATCCAAACAGTGGGAGGTACGCGGTGTACTTCGCGGAGGGATGCGAGGGATGCGACCGGGTGTTCAGGGAGGACGCCCGACCCGCGTGCGTGGCCGAGCCGTTGTTCGGCGCGTCGAACGCGATACAAATATAGCGCCCTTCGGCGACGTCTCGCGTCTCGCGTCGGTCATTCTGTGCACGCCGTGCCGTCCGAGCGCGCGATGAAACGATGTAATTATATGTGCAGCACGTCCTTCGTGACGTCGGTCGCGCGTCTCATCCGTCCGTCCCGGACGTCCGCGGCGTCATCCCTCCGAGACATCCACGTGGCACGTTTCAGCCATCGACGACGTCCGGACATGTCCCCCCTCGAGCGCGTCCTCGCCGTCGTTCGCGATCGGGTCACGCGCGATGCCTCGCTCGCTCGCTCGCTCGCTCGCGATCTCTCCGTGGTCGCGACGCGCGGTCGGACGAGTTTCATGAATGATTACAGCCCCGGGGTCTCCGCCGAGGACTTGGTGGGGATTTTACCGGACGTCTGCGACGCGCTCTCGACACCGCGCGCGGACGTGTTCGCGGCGACGATGCGCGGAACGACGTTCGTGATAAACGCGCGGGCGCTCGATGGGGAAGGGAGGCGGAGGACGTTCGTGTGCCTGGACGGAGACGTCCCGGAGCTCGCGGGCGGGACGCGCGCGCGGGCGACGGCGGAGGCGTGGGATCGAGCGCGACTGGCGATGTCGCTCGCGGTGCGGGCGATGGGGGACGAGCGCGTCGTAATCGATTTGGACGCGGTTCTAGAGGCGAGCGGGAGCGCGTTGTCGCCGGTGACGATCGCTGGGATATTGCTCGACTTTCCGTGCGTGTACGCGATGGAGGCAGAGTCGATGACGAGCGCGGCGGCGGTTTTGTCTTCGTGCGCGCTGAACGTGCACTCGATCGAGTGCGCACTCGGGGATGGCGATGTGTGCTCTGTCTATGGCTGGAGCATTCCAAGTTCGCTACAAATCGATGATGAGCGCGTGTCTGAATGGTTCGACTCCGCGTCGCAAGCGCTTCGGATGCTCGGTTTCCGCGCGTCGCACAAGGTGTCTCACAACGCGTCTGGGAGCGTGAAGATAGTTTTTTAGCGTAGTCTAGCTTTGTCATGTAGGGGACTAGTATTAGAGATTAAAAACGCACCTATTCCTCGTCACTATCTTCGTCATCGTCGTCCGAAGCTTCCGAGAGCCACTGAATGAACGGCTTGACCTTCGAGAAGAAGCGAGCGTCGCCGCCATCAGACTCAGCGAGGAGGTCCTTACGCTTGGCGTTCGCCCAGGCAAAGAGAGCCTCTTCTGCCAAAATATCGGCATCGTACAACGCCTTAAGCAACTGCGCTGCGATATTGAGCACGCGAGCGCCACCAGTTCTGGCTGCGAACGGATCGGCGGAAAGTGCGAGTGCCTCGAGCGTGCTCACGGCGCGGACTTGCTCCGACATCTTCTTCAAAACACCCTCAAGTGCATCGCTGTAACCCTCGATGTTCTTGACAATGGCCGCCAACAGTTCCTTGTCACTCTCCGGGATAGACGCCGGATAGACGCCGGCGCCATTCAAGTGTGCGGGAGCGGTGAAGGCAAAGGCAACGATGGAAGCCAAGACGTAGGAAGCCACTTCGCCCGCGGTGCGACCCGATGAAGAAGACAGCGCGCTGATGAGAGATGAAACGGATTCCACATCACGCTTTTGTGCCTTCTCGAGATCGAGCACTGCCTTTTCAACCGACTTTTGGAACTCAATGAGCACCGTGGTCTCCTCCGCCTCAATCGCGGCACCGAGAGTAGCTCGTCGGATTGTCTTCTTGGAGTAGAAAACGGCGGTACCGTCTCTTCGCAGACGACCGAGGAACTGCTGAAGATCTTCCCACGCCAAAAGTCGACCCAGATCCTCTTGCAACAACAACGTATCGACGGCTGGACAATCTGTACCGTAGATAGAGGAGTAGTCAACAACCAATACATTGAGCGGTGGCGAGCGGCCACGGAGCGAATCAGGAACCGTCAAAAGCGCCTGGTTATACAAACGTTTCACCATGGGCTCAGTCCCCGTACCGCACGCGTACGCAATACCCTTGGAGAGCATGACCAAGGTGTTGATGTCGGCTTCAAGCGCTTCGGCGAGGCTAATCTTCAACATCGGTCTGAGGGTCACAATTCCAACTGCACCCTCGTCACCGCCATCCTTGTCGGCCTCTTCATCCTCCTTCTTTTTGCGCTTTTCAGCCTTCGCGTTTTCCTTAAGAATACGCTCCGCCTCCTTGAGCTTGTTGTTCATCTTGTGAACGTCTTGGATCCATGCCTCTTGGTTGCCAAAGCCAGCGAGCTCGAACGCCATCTTACGAGGATCGAGGCAACCGACCATGGTTACACCCTCCTTCGAAAGAGCGCCACGGATACCGTCGACCTTGCTTGGGGCATCCTCGCCGGTTTTCCAACGGACTTGCAGCCTTTCAAAGTCTGCCTGCGAGAGGTTGGTGAACGTTGGTTCCATGGCCAGGCGCAGCGTCTTGACGTCACCTTGGACTTTTTCCCACTCACCACCCGGAGGCGTGATCTGCAACAAGTCGTTCCCGTGTCGCGACGACAAGTGACGCAACAGCAGGCAAGGCAAGCGGTAGTCTTGCATGACGCGTTGATACTCGGCATAGTTTTCGAACACGTTGAGCGTGCTCATCGGAATGAACTCACTCGTACCCTCATTGAACACAGCAAGCTTGGACATAGGTAGTTCGTACGGCTCTAAGCTGATTGTGATCTGATTTGCATCCCGCGGACCCCGCCACCAAGGTTCAAGACCTTCCCAGGCCCCGAGCGTGGCCGACGCTAGCACGGCGGTGTGCGGCATGTTGGCCTGGATGGTCGACACGACACCCAAAACGTTGGGGTCGAGGTGGATCCCCATGTTTGGTTCGTCAAAGTACAAAAGAATCTTCGATTGGTGATAGAATGAGCTCTCGGACTCCTGCGCGGCAGCTTTAAGCAACGCGCCAGTTGTGTTAAGATCAGCGATGATGATGTCCGGCTTACCCGCGCCGTGATCCTTGAGCTTGTAACCTACATCAGCAGCGTACTCGAGCTGTTGCTGGATGGTACCGGAGCCGGCGCTCACCTTTTCACCGATCGCGCGAGCGGCTCGGAGCGCCTTCTTGTTTCGAGCCTTGTCACGAATGGAGTACGGACGACGAACTTGGTGAAGGGTTCCGTCCCCCGAGGCGTCGCGGGCGGCGGTCCAGTATGGCACTGCGTGTGCCTCGCACTCCTGACCGACGCGCTTCAAAACTTGCTTGGTCGGCACTGAATACACCAAAATACTGTCTGGATATTTCACCTTCAACAAACGCAGATGGACGAGAATGGCGGTGAACGTTTTTCCAGAACCCGTCGGCGTTGACAAAATCACATGTAGGGGTTTCGGGAGCGGCTTCACAGCCTCCTTCGCCTTCGCCGTCGCCGCATAGTGCTTGTCCAACTGTTCGATAAGTTCGTGTTGGTGCTTGTACATGCGTGCCACACCCCCGGACTGCGCCCCCGACTTGTTCGTCCACGCGTGCATGGCCGCGAAGGTTTGATCCTTGATCCTGTTGCTCACGCTGTTCCACACAATCTTACCTGCGATCGCCTGCACGCTCCCTTCGCCGTGATTCAGCGCCTCGCGCTTCAAGAACAACAAATCACCAGGCTGCGCCTCCTTGATCGCGTTCAACCACCTCAGCGTGTGCTTTGCCGCGTCTCGCATTGCCTTGAGCTCGTCGATAATCGCCCCGGGCCACAGGTTCGACAGCCGCTTCTTCTCCCCCTTATCCTCCCCGGCTCGCTCATACTCGGACGGAAAACACTCCTTCGCCAGAGCCTTGTACACATCGCTCTCCTTCCGCTGAACGTAAAAATATTCAAAAACCTTATTTTTGATCAAATCCGGCGGCGCGTCCAGCGCCCCGTCCCACGGCTGGATCTCTCGCATGATTCGGAACCCCGCGCTCCCTCGCACCTTTGCCACTAAATCGCTGTTATCGATGTCCGCCCAATCATTCGACGATAACGACGACCCGACGTCGACGTTCAACGACGCCTCACCCGGCGCGAACGTCGTCGTCTGTTCCTCTCCATCGCCGCCGCCGATGTGCGCGTCTTCGTCAAAGTAATCGCTATCGCTGTCGCTCATCGCCCGCGAACGATCTTTGTCGCCGTGACCTCCGCGCGCGCGTTCGATCACTCCCACCCGTGACCGCGCGCGCGCGGACGAGGACGACGACGAGGGACGACGTCGACGTGGACGCGATCGCGAGGGACTCTCGCCCGCGCGCGCGGTGCCGCCCACCGGGCGATCGATCGGGATCGATCGATGCGCGATCGATCGACCGTCGATCGATCGACCGGACACATCGATCGATCGACCGGACGCACGCATCGATCGACCGGACGTCCACATCGATCGACCGGACGTCCACATCGATCGATCGACCCACATCGATCGACCGGACGTATCGATCAAACCACATCGATCGACCCTACCGATCGATCGACCGGACGTCCACATCGACCGTACACATCGACCGTCCACATCGACCGGACGTACACATCGATCGACCGGACGTCCACATCGATCGACCCACATCGACCGGACGTCCACATCGATCGACCGGACGTCCGCACCGATCGACCCCATCGGTGGCGCCGCCGGTCGATGCCGGATGGGACCGCACGCGGGACGACAGACGAAACCTCCACCGCGAGGCTTTCGGTCGAGCGTCTCGAAGTGGGCGTCGCGCGGACGTCGAGCGAGGGAATCGCCGCGAGCGCGTGGTCGAGGCGAGGACGGTCGAGGTCGAGGTCGAGGGCGCGATGAGCGGTCGACGACGACCGGGTGGGGCGCGAAAGATGAAGGCGTTCTCGCGGGTGGAAAACCTCACGAGCTCGAACGCGTTCGATCGAGCGCTGCGACGACGGGATCAGCTCGTGTTGGTGGAGTTCGTCTCTAATTACTCCCCGAGCTCGAAATCCATGGCGCCGTACATGCAAACGCTGAGTAAGACGGCGGAGTTCAAGCGGATTCGATTCTGTCGCGTGGATATCGAAGCCGTCCCGGCGGTCGCCGAGCGGTGCAACGTGAAAGCGCTGCCGACGTATCAGTTGTATAAGAACGGAGAAAAGTTGGAAGAGATGTCTGGGGCGTTACCGTCGAAGTTGGTGACGATGTTAAAGGAGCACAACGTGCGGGATGAGCGTGGGGGGGTGCTGAAGCTCGTGGGCGTCGTCTTGGGCGTCGTCGGCGCCTTGACGGGCGTGCTCATACTCAAGCATCGAGTTGAGCAGCACGAGATTCGAGAGGAGACGAGAAGGAAGAATGAGGAGACGACAAGGTTGGCGAAGGAGCAGGCGGAGCGAGAAGAACGGCAGAGACGACGGGGTGGGAAGACAATTACGGCGATTGCGAAACAGGAGGAGGAGGAAGAGGAGGATTTTGAAGAGTTTGTTTCGGACGACGTCGAGTGGGAAGACGACGATGAATAGAGTGAAATTTTGTTCGTCTTGTTAATGAAAAAGAACGATTGCTACGCTAACGCTGATGTCGCTTATTTCGTTTACCATTTGAACTCTGGAATGTTTTGGGTGTCCACCGGGGGCTTCTGAGGGGACGCAGGCGCACCGAACGCGGAGACGCCAGCTTGCGCGAACTGATTGCCCACGAACGTACCTCCCATCGGTGGCATCGGTCCGTCCATTTGGGGCGTCCCGTACTGCTGTTGCTGCTGAGGCATGTATCCAAATTGTTGCGCGCCAGCGCCCGCGGCGCCCATGAACTGCTGTTGCATCATCATCTGCGGCATCATCTGCGGTCGCGGCTGATATCCGTACCCTTGGAACGTCTGTGGCTGCTGTCCCATCCCCGGCATCGCCGGCTGTTGCCCAATTCCTGGTATTCCGTGCATCTGGGGCTGCATCTGTTGTTGCTGGAATGCACTCATCGGAACACCGCCCTGCGACGCCATCACGCCTCCCTGAAGCTGATCCAAACCACTCCCCACGAAAGGTGTCGCCGACGCACCTCCTATCGGCATCGTCGGTCCCGACGCCGGTGTGTCGAAGAGGTTCATTATGTCGTTCTTGGAAACCTCTCGCTTTGGTGGCGCAACTGGCGCCGCCGGCGCCGCCTGAGGTGCAGCAGTCGGCGCCGATGCGAAATCGCCCCATCCATCATCAGCGATGGGTATCGCCGCCGTAGGCACTACGGTCGCGGGCGCCACCGAGAAATCGCTCCACTGATCTGATCCGTTCAACGCAGTCGTGGGCGCCGCTGCCGGTATGGCGGAGAAATCCGACCACTGATCGCTCGCGAACGCCGCCGAGGCATCGTTCGTTCCGCTCACCGGCGCCGACGCGGTATCATTCAACGACAACAGATCGAACGCTCCCCCACCGTTCGCCTGCGCGGGCTGCGCCACCGCTTGCGTCGCTTGCGTCGCTTGCGCCGCCGTCCCGCTCGCCTCCTCCTCCGGCCCGCTCCTCGTCTCGTCGACGTACATCTTCCGCTCGTACTTCTCCCTGATGAATCTTTCGCACTGATCCCTCGTCCACGTCGGCGTCGGTTTCTTCCCCACCGGCACGTTCGCCTCCCAGTACGCGTTCGCGCGCGCGTTCCCCAGCCCCGACACAAAGTCCACCTGCGCCTCGGTCCACTTATCCAGCGTCGTCGACTTCACCTTTGATATGTGCACCCCCAGCCCGCGATGGGAACCGCTGCAGCTCGTGCAGAAGAACACCCCGAGCGAGGTCGACGCCCATCGGGGAAGTCTCGAGGAACACTCGGCGCACGTGAGATTTTCTGGTCGCTTGAGAATGTCCACGAGTCGCTTCTGCAGGCGCTGTTGCTCGCGATCGACGGCGCTCATGGCGGACGTTTCCGCGCGCGCGCTCGGGCGTCCCGAAGTCCCGAAGTCGCGTCGTCTTCGCGCGCGCGGTGTCGCGGTGTCGCGCGAGACGGCGTCGGATGGGGTCACACTCGTGTCTTCACGTCACACGCTCGCTCGCGGAAAACGCGCGAAGCGTGTCCTCGCGCGCCCGAGCGAGCGAGATATGATACTGCGACACGCGTCGACGCTCAACGGCGCGGTCTCCATCGTTCTCGCGAGCGCGAGTCCGCGTCGACGGGAGATTTTAACGAAAACTTTGGGTCTGACAAACGTGGTGGTGGTCAAGAGCGCCTTCGCGGAGGATTTGGACAAGTCGAAGTACGACGGCGCGGCGGCGTACGCGGAAGCCACGGCGTGGAAGAAGGCGATGGATGTGTGTCAGAATTGGAGCTCGTACAGCGATCTACCGATGCCGGATGTGGTGATATCAGCGGACACGGTGGTGGAGTCGGCGAGCGGGACGGTGATGGAGAAACCGGGAGACGCGAGCGAGGCGCGGGCGATGTTGCGGGCGCTTTCTGGATCAACGAGTCGAGTGCACACCGGAGTGGCGATCGTGACGCCGAAGGTACGCGTGGATCGCGTCGGGGAGCTTTGTGGGAAAGTGTTCAGTGAGACAACTCGAGTGGAGTTTGCAGAATTGGAAGATGAAGAAATTGACGCGTACATCGCCACCGGCGAGCCTTTCGATAAGGCAGGTGGGTACGGCATTCAAGGACCAGCGGCGGCGTTCATTCGAGGAATTGTGGGGGATTATTTCAACGTCGTAGGATTTCCAGTGCATGCGTTCACTCGAGAGCTCGAGCCGATGGTTGGAGACATCTTGGAGAGAGCTTGAGTCTTGAGTTTGAGCAAGAAGTGATGTTATAAGTCAGTCGGTAGCAGCTAATCGTTGTATCTATCTAGTATAATTTATCAGTTCCCGTTTGAAAGTCATACGCTCCTACCTTTCGCTTAATCGTAAGGGTATCCGTGCCCGGGTTGTACTGAGAAGTTTCTGGCGTGAAATCTGGAGCCAACCTAGTTTCAGTTGGCATCCCATCGCGAAGCATCCATAGCTCGACGTCGGATACGTTGGAGATCTTCTTCTTGTCACAAAATGCAGCAATCACTCTTTTCCATTGCACCGTTTGGACGACTTTGAAGCGCTGAGGCTTACTGCCGGCAGTGCCGTCCCCCGTGATGCCATCTCTTACAGAAAAGTAGATGAAGGCCTTTGGCCTCATGTAGAGCACATAGGTCTCATTCGACGACTGAGGCGGAAAGATGTCCTCGAACTTATCGTCATTCCCTCTCTTATAGTAAAGACGTTTTGGCCTTTCCTTGTACTCTCCGTCGTTTGCAAGGACTACCTCCCGCATGTCAAGTATCGCCTTAATTGTATCGTCTTCTTCACGCGCTAGGCGTTCGCGATCGAGCATAAATTTGAACGGTGTACTCCCAGTATTCTCCACACACTCCGCGTACTCGAACACACTGTTATCGAAGTACGTGCTGATTTCTTCCTTTTCCCGGGAAGTCTTGGGTACGATGAATTCATGCACACAGTTCCTGCACAGTTCCTCCACACTTTCAAAAACTTCAGAACTTGTGGCACTGAGTGGCACGGGAATAATCACGATCGTCGCCTTTAGACGGTCTAAAGTCGGCATTTCTTCTGGGCAACGAACCTCTGGAAGACATTTGTTGCCGAGAACAAACAAAACGAGGGCATGGTTCGTCCTATCTTTCATCATCTCCACGTTAATAGACCCACGCGGAAGAATCATAAACGCGCCTGGCACCCCCGAATCTGGTGCGCCTTGTGCACTAGTCAGTTGAGTCGTCGACGGCGCTGAAACAGCTTTCGAAGCCTTGGTGTGATGCGCCGATGCGCTCGTCGGCTTGACCGCCGACGGGTTGTCTACAATCCGGGCTGCCTCCTCGATGATAACGTCGGATGGCGGAAAATGCTCGCAAATTTTGAGTTCATGCTCGTCTAGTGCACGTACTTTCATCAAATCGCACGCCTTTTGCAAGACGTCAACCGAAGATTGTGGCAACGGTGGCCACGACCCTTTCGCCGCCGCGAGCTCCTTCGTCCACATTTCCAATACTGCCTCCTTATGTAACATTTCGTAGTTTCGACTCAGTCCTCGCATCACGGCCTCATTCACGAACTTCTTTAGTGCAGGGATAAAGTCGTTTTCAAGTCTTTCTCTGAGATGGTGGAACGGTATATAAAGCGCAGACAGGATCTCGTCGAGCAGAAAGTCAGTTTCATGGCGTAGCGTAACCCACATTCCATGTGTGAGTAATCGAATGATGCGGCAATAGTCTAGTAAACTCACATCTTGGTGACCCAGTTTGTCGTCCCCTACAGACACATAATTGATCACGCCTTCGACACGAATCGTTAAGATCTCCAAGAACATGTGAGCCAATGTGAAGGTCTCGCAACCGTGTTTGCGACCATTCGAGAATGCGACACAGAACGTTGTGGGCGTCGCCATGAAAATCTCATCCTCTTTATGAATCGGCCGGGCACAGAGCCTGTGATGTTCGATTCGTAATCGCACGACGTCCATATGTACATTGTCACCCAAAAACACCTCTAATGCCTGCGTAAAGTGCACCCAGGTCCAAAAGTCCCAAGTCATTGTGTAAATGGAAGAGTGAACATGTTCTTTGTCCATCGTCGCCAGCTCACTGGGTACAAACTTCTTATACAATCTGGTCAACTCGTCAATGCCGTACTCCTTCTGCCTCGCCACTTCTATCTCCACTTTCGCCCGCATCCGATTTCGCAACCTATCCTCATCGTTCTCCGCCCTCTTATCGAACGCGCACTCGCCGCACACCTCCAACCCGTGCTCGTTGCACGCCTGGACCCTGCACGTATCAAAAAACTCCCGCTCACCGTCGTTGAAGTACCCCGCCGAGCCGCGGGAATCCGCTCTGAGATACTTCGCAAAGTCCACCCCTCGTATCTTCGCGCATGTCCCGCACGAACACGTGCTCTCGTGCGGCTGCTCGTACGCTCCGGACACCCCCCAAAGCTTGCGCGTCGGATCCTTCGTCGGCGCGTTGTCCATACCCCTTCGTCTCCGCGACATCCAGAGCCACGGCGCCATGGGATAGCTCCCAGCCGGACACAGAATCTCCCCGCCGTCAATTCGCGCCCGCAACGCCTTCGCCCGATCCGCAAACTCTCGCTCGACCTCCTCGAGGTATCGTCCCATGTCTCGAGCGTCTTCGCTGACGAAACTCTCGTCGTTCGGGTCGAACAGCGGTAGGCGCGCGCGTACCGCCGTCACGATTTCCATCATGGTCGTCTCCATCGCGCGCGCACGACGCCGGCGTCCACGCGTCGCGATCTGAGACGACACGTTCGACGCATCGTGGGTTGCGCGCGTCGCCGCACTCATCTCCGCGCGCGCCCGTCGCGCCGCGATGCTCCGACGGTTCGCGCGCGCGCTGGGCGGAAAGACCCCGTCGTCGTCCAAGCGCTCGAGGGCGAGCGCGCTCGAGCGGGACGACGACGGAACGACGCCGCGGTCGGTGTCGAAAGCGTCGCTCGTGGAACTCGGCGCGCTCGAGCGATGCGCGGTCGTTCGACGACCGAGCGCGAGGAACGCGTCGCCGTACGTCGCGGACGTGGAGCGCGGGGAGACGAAAACGATCGCGATCGCGCACGCGCCGAATCTGGACTCTGGAGGGAAGTTTCGCGCGGGGGCGGAGGTTTTGTGCTCGAGACAGCCCGGCGTGGACGCGAACACGCTCGGGACGCGCGGTAAACCGAAGTGCGAGCTCGTGACGAGACTGTTGAGATGCGAAGAGCGAGAGAACGCGGCGTTGGGAGGGGTGTGGGTGAGCGCGCATCCGAGCTTGGTGGAGAAGATCGCGAAGGGGTTGATCGAGGGCGGGGCGTTGGACGCGCGCCTGCACGGGTCGCCGGTGGAGCGAGACGGCGTCTCGGCGCAGACGACGATGAAGCGGCGGAAGACGGAGAGCGCGTCGAATAACTATCGTCCAGACTTCGTGTTGAATCACAAGGATGGATCTAGGACTATTTTAGAGGTGAAGCAAGTCGTAGATACGGATTACTCGCGAGAGTTTGTGGAGGAACGCGCGCGATTACAGGCACCGCATCCTGTGTACTCGCCGAGCGGCTCTGCGCCGTACGCGCGAGCAGGTATATTTCCGTGGGGCAAACGAGGTCAAAAAGGACCGGACGGAGAAAATGTGGTTAGTGCGCGGGCGATCGAGCATCTGCGCGAGCTAACCGAGTTGGCGAAGGATCCAAATGTGCACCCAGTGATTCTCTTCATCTGCAGCCGAGCAGACGTGGAGGGATTTCGCCCCAACGGTGCAGCGTGTCCGTCGTTCGCGAAATATTTAGAGCTCGCTCAACACGCGGGGGTTCGAATTCTAGTACAAAAAGTGTGTTGGGGTGAGGGCGAAGACCTCGGGAAGGCGTTCGACGCAGGGCCGCTGCCAATATGGCCTGCGCTTGGGGAGGGTGATGAGTTCAAGTGTAGTGAGAACAGGTAATGTACATTTCATCAATCGTATCAAATCATATCGAGGGTAAAAACGGATTATCAGTAGTCGTCCAATTGTTGGAAAGTTACGTGCTGCTTCCCCTGGGAGACGTTCTGTCGCGCCTTGGTCATCTCGTATTGGCGTATGTGCTCGTCGTAGTTATACAGCGGAAAATTCGTCGACGCACGCCTTCCGCGCACCTGAACCAAAGCTTGGTCGTACGCGACGGCGGCTTTCTCTGCGGAGTCGTATAGACCGAGGTACATGTGATTGCTTCGTGGAACGCCGAGTCGAGCCTCGAATTTTGAGTTGGCGTGTCGAGTCACACCTCGATAGCCGCTTGAGCCCCGAGCAAAACCTTCGCTGTGCCGTCTCACCTCCATGATGAGCTCATCGAGCGTCAAAGAATCGATCAGTTGAAGCAAATTCGCATACCGCCCCTCAGGAAAGTTCATTTTCAGCGGTCTAGACCCGGTTCTACTTCTCGATCCGATACGTGCGAGCTTCAAAACGATGATGTCAAAAGCCTCAGCAGCAAACTCTTCCTCGAGATACCCGCCAAGGTACACTTGTCGACGAGACTCTCGCAACCACACGTGCGCTTCATATCGTCCAGACTTGGCGTGTCGACAGACACCGTTGTATTTCGAACTACGAGGTTTTCCGGTCGATGATCGGTACATCGGCACGGGTACGGGCGGCGGAAGAGGGGGCTGCAGCTGCAATTGGTTCTGCGGAAGTTGCAAACGGTTCAGTTGCGCCTTCGGTTTTCGCGTCCCGCTCCTCCGCTTGGACACTCGTCCTGTGGACGTCGAAGCCAACGTTCGTCCGCTCAGAGGCTTGTACTTCAGATCTTCGAAATGTGGAAAGTGCTCTCCCACGACGTCTCCTCCGTGCTGCGCGAAGACCTCCTCCCAATGCGTCGTCTGGTTCGCAAGCGTCGCCGCTTCCCTGGTGCTCTCGTCGAACAGGCAAAGAAAATCATCTGACGGCACGACCGCCTCCTCGCTCTGTCCTCGAGCGGGCTCCGCGATCACCGGTGTCACTGGTTCTTCCTTCGTCTTCTCGTTCGCGCTCTTCTCGCGTCCGCGAAGCTTCATGCTCGCTATCTCCAACCTCGCTGTCTTCTGCAGCCTTCTCCGATACTCGTGACTTTCACGACGCTCCCACGGTCGTCGCGTTCGCCCGTTCGTTCCCTCCGACCTCGCGAATCGCGTGTGAAAAAATTACACTTTACGATTCTTCCCTTCGCCCGTCCCGTTCGTCGTCGCGTCGCGCTCTATCTTCCGTTGAAAACGCGGTACACACGCCCTCGTCCGGTGACACCGCGGCGGCGGGCGCGCGCGCGCGGGTGTGTGTGTACCCCACCGTGTACCCCACACACCCACGAGTGATGACCCCACACCCCACATCACCAAAACACCCGATATTATCACACGCCCACCCGATTGAAAAAATCACCCGCCCGCGTCGCCCTCGTAGCCGCGAGCTAGGGCTCGGGGATCGATCGATCACGCCTCGCGGTCGAGTCGCCTCGCGCGCGGCGGCTGCGGGTGGGGCGACCGCGGATCGGTCGTCCGCAGAGCGCGTGCGCGGGGGCACGGACGCGCGTGCGGGTGGGAACACGTCGAGCGACGCACCACCGTCATGGATCCGTCAATGCTCGAGGGGTTCAACGACGAGGACAAGGCAAAGATGACGTCGATGATCGACGCCATGCAGACGCGAGACTCGCTGCGAATGTATAACAACTTGGTCGAGCGGTGCTTCTCGACGTGCGTGCAGTCGTTTCGTAGGAAAACGCTCGAGCAAGACGAGGAGAAGTGCGTGTCAAAGTGTTGCGAGAAGTTTTTAAAGCACAGCGCTCGGGCGAGCGTGCGGTTCGCCGAGCTTAACGCGGCGTCCATGCAGGAGGCCATGGCGCAGGCGGGCGAGCCGGCGGGGAAGTAGTGGCGTCTTAGACGACGTGTTTGATTCATTTTTAAACGAGAATGTAGCTTTGCACCAATACTAATGTTTCTATGTGATCGAGCTCGCGTCGATCATTGGACGACCGATTTGAGGACGTCAAAGTAGGTCGGGAAGGTTTTCTTTGTGCACGTTGGATCGTTGATGATGACGTCGACGTCGCCGCACGCGGCGAGCGCGAAAGCCATGGCCATGCGATGATCGTCGTAGGTATCGATGTCAACATTAGCCCTCATCTTCGCCGGGGGGTTGAGCTTGTGCGGGGGGGTGATGACGCAGTAATCCGAGCCCTCGAAGACATCGCATCCGAGCTTGCGGAGCTCGGTGCAAATGGCAATCATACGCTCCGTCTCCTTCACACGCCAGCTCGCAACGTCCCGAATGGTCGTAACGCCGTCGGCAAACAGCGCCGCGACGGCAAGTGTCATAGCGGCGTCGGGCATGGCGTTCATGTTGACATCGATCGCCTTGAGCGGGCCCTGAGGACCGGTACACTTGACCGAATTCGGACCCCACTCGAGCGTCGCGCCCATTTGTTCCATTGTGTACGCGAAGTTAGTGTCGCCCTGGATGCTTTCCGAGCCGCAACCGATGACGGTAACGGTACCACCAGTGATCGTGGCACCGGCGAGGAAGTAGGAAGCTGACGACGCGTCGCCCTCGACGAAGGCAGAGCCCGGAGAGACGTACTTTTGTCCGCCTTGAATCTTGAAGCTTTGGAGGTCCGCAGACTTCTCAACCTTCACGCCGAAGCGTTCCATGAGCGTGATGGTCATCTCAACGTACGGCTTAGAGATAAGCTCATCGACGATGACAATTTCGATCGATCCTTGGCACAGCGGCGCCGCCATGAGGAGTGCGGTGAGGTACTGGGAGCTCACGGACCCACTGAGCTCCACGCGACCACCTGGCAAACCATCCGCCTCAATCTTCACCGGTGGGCACCCCGTGCCCATCGTGCACTCCGCTTTGACACCAAGCTGAACTAAGCCGTCGACGAGATCAGCGATCGGTCTCTCGCGCATTCTAGCGACGCCGTCGAGGATGAAAGTCCCTTTGCCCGCAGCCGCTACGGCGGCGGTGAGCGGTCTCATCGCTGTCCCGGCGTTACCGAGGAACAGCTCCGCGCCCTCGACCGGGAACTTACCCCCGCACCCGGTGATTTCCAAGATGTTGTTCGCTCTGTCCTCGGTGAAGGACAAACCGAGCACCTTGAGCGCGTCCACCATGTATCGAATGTCGTCGCTGTCCAACAAGTTTTCCACCTTGGTCGTTCCCTCCGCGAGCGCGGCGAGGAGTAAGATGCGGTTCGACAACGACTTCGAGCCCGGCAAGCGAACGGTACCCTCGATCTTTTTCATCGGCTTCAGCGTCAGCTGCTCCACGGCGGCACCGGCGGATGCGCGAGTGTGCGCTCGTGAGGTGCGGCGGCTAGGGCGGCGAGACGCGACAGAGTGCGCCAGCGCGAGTGACGCGCGAGCGGTGGCGGCGCTGGACATGGTGCGGTTGACGGACGTGCGTGAGCTCGAGACGATGCGCGCGTTCGTGACGTGCGACGCGCGAACGACTGAGCGCGACGACGGGGGAGGAGGTATCGAAAACAATCCCGAGCGCGCTGAATGAAACCCGATCTCGAGGGACTGCCGCTTTGAGCGTCTTGTAGCGCTATGAAATGATTCCGTGGATTATTAAAAGGAGACAAAGCTGCGAGCGCTCACGAGCGAGTGCTTCAAGTGAATGAATTCGCGCTCGAGCGCGGCGATCTTCTCGAGCTTGACCTGGAGTTTCGTCTTTTCGTCCGCAGTGCGACCGAGTATTCCGAAACCGCCCACACTGGAGTCGTTCGCGCGCTTTCGCTCGGTGTCAAAGTGACGAGACGCGGACTCGAACCAGTGAAGCGCGTCGAAAGCTTGATGCTGGTTCAGGACGCTCAGTAAGTACACGATTCCCAGAGAGAACCCGTCGTCGGTGAATGATGACATCTGAGATTCCTTTCCTCGTCGAAAAAGCGTATCTTGCGAAGCCACGATTGCTTCGGCGGCGCTCCACGTGAGTGCAGGAAGTATCAAGTGAAAACTGTCAAGGTGTTCTCTCGCTTTATTGCGTAGCTCCGTAGAGAACACGGAAACAAGAACCTCGAAGTAGTCGGTGCCATCAGTACCACCCGTACTGAGCGCCTCCAACTCGCTCTGGAGATTTTTCAACGCCTTCTTCGTTTGCTCTGACAAACCGTCTGCTTCAAAGCTCTGATTGCGAGCCAGCTTTGCCTCAGAGCTCGGCACAAACTTGGCCGCATTCGTGCTGTAATGCATCGCACCGAGTCTCACCATGCGCACGAAACCAAGCGCATTGCCGATTTCGGTCACCAATGTGCGGAACTGGTCGATGAATGACAAACCGTCGGGTGATAATCCGAGCTTGCGAACATCGCTGACAAATCGAATCGCTCGCTCCACAGGATACTCAAACTTGTCGTCGACCGTCGAAGCGCGGTATCCCGACTGCTTCGTGATCAGCTTGATCGTATCACTCTTGGCTTTCGTTTCCGCGTTCACCATTCGAGCCTCCTTCAACAGCGCGCTTCTGATGTGGTCGTCGAAGAGGAACTGGCTGAACAGCTGAAACCGCTGCGCGAGGTACTGGTAGGCAAAGTTGATGGTCGTATGCGTGATACCCGTTCCATGCGTTCTGATCGAGTTCGCTACATGTCTGGTACTGATGGTGTTCAAGTGCTTTCGATCCGGCGCCGCGCTTACCTTCTCCACGAAGCACTGCGTGTTGAGGTTGTAGTTGTATCGTGACACAAAGATGTGGACGTTCCGCATCAACTCCAACACGTCCAAACCTTGTTCGAGCGTCTTGCTCGGAAGCTCAATCTCTGAGCAACGTAAACCGTACTTGGATATGGCGATGTTACGCATCTCTATGTAAGACTGCGAGCGAAATAGCCGTCAGTGACTCTGTTCTGTAACTCACTCACCGACTCATCGCGCTCCGCGAAAATAATTAATTAATCACTCACCTTCCAATTGTGAAGAGCAATAGCGGTGTGATTGTGAAACATTCGGTTCAAATAAATTTCCACTCGATTTTTGATGTCGATCTGTCGATAGTGAAGACAAAAGCGGTCAGTTCAGAAATTCCTCACTCAAATAAATAAATTAATTATACGCACTTGTCGGTTCAACATGCGCACAGGAGGCAAATTTGTGAACGACGACAGGTCCCGAACGCCTTGTGTCATCGGATTCACATCAGCGACGCCAACTATGTGCGCAGCGTGAAGGTGGAGCCTCAGATCGTTCTCAATGTCGCGACAGAGAGGTTGAATTATTTCACGATCCAGGCACCTCTCCAAAAAATTGCCGAACGTCATCATGTCCTCGTTACTCGCCCCCGCGCGCATCAGCAACACCTCGCAGCATCGGAACGCGTTCATAAGTAATATCACACGTCCAGCTTCGTTCGCGTCGTTGTAAATCTGAGACAGACAAACTGGAAATAATTCCCTGGAAAAAAATAAAAAAGAGGTATCACATTCATCTTGAATGTTTCTCCGGTACACGCAGAGCCTTTCAGCGAGTTCGACGCATTCTGCCGAGAGGACAACGTCTTCTTGACTCAAGAGGTTCGCTCCACGGATCGCATCCAAGCAAATGCGAAGAATTTGCATCCTTTTCAACGTCACGGGCCCAGATAGAACATGAACTAAATAAATGAAATAATTAATTAATTTTTGTGTCGCCATCTTCGCGATGGAAAGGCTTACCTGCTATGTCGACGTTCGCAAGAACGTCAAGCTTATTGCTGTCTCCTTTTCCCGAAGAAATATGCGCTTTAAGGCGCTCCCAACCACTCGCTGTCGTCGACGTCGAAATCGCATTTTCTAATATTTCCCGCACGGGAACCTACACGTGTAAAAGTTAGTTTGATGAGTCAGAAACGCGCTTGTGCTCAACCGGGACGCACCATGATACGATATATTCTATCAGCTAAAAAATTGAGCACATGCTGAATCTCCACGCTCAAATTGACTTTTCGAGTGAGCGCCTCATGCGTCGCCTGCAGGAGTTCCACGCCTCGGCTGATGAGCCGCACCCGACGCTTGGTGATGGGGGAATCCAGTGACACATGCAAGTGTACCACCTCTTGCAGGTAGTGTCGTAAACCGCTCGCGAGTTTAATTCCCTGTTGAAATAACTCGACTCGAGAGTTCATCGTGATCGATAGACTGCTCTCCACTGTGGGCACAGCCGTGAAGCGGGAGAGCCAGGCGACTGACTCGGTCACCATGTCGTGGAGCTTCGCAGGGAACGTCTCATCAATATTCGCGAGCGTTTCTCGCCGAAGTGACGTAGCTGAGGCTAACATATCGTTACCGACGCACTCTCGAGCGGCGGGAGATAGATGCATATCCAACACTGTCTCAGGACAGATGGCAACTGTCGTCGTCACCGGAACGAGCACGCACGCTTTGACCACCTCCCACGCTCGCGAGCAGAGCTTTATATCCGGTATGTCGAGAATCAGTCTTGAGTGTAATATTGTCAGACACAAAGTCGACAGCAACGTGCGTTTATCGTTCAAAAGCTCTTTTTTGGTGTTCAAGCGAGCGATGGCGCCTTCATTGAGCTCGAGCGCTGCCCCGGCGAGCTCCTTGATGAAACGATCCGTTTGTTCAGTCGACGTCAACTGATCAAGCACCGAGGCGAAGAATGAACACGTGAACAATTGCTTCTCGACGATGACGATCGCCGAATCCAAGCTCGCGACGTCGACTTCGCTCATTCCAAACTGCTCGGGCTTGGCCCGAAGCACCAACACCGCTCGCTTAAAGCTCGTCAGCGTTGCCCCTAATGACCTGTTGTTCCTGACTGTTTCGTCTATGCCGAGACCTATCGCTAGCGCGTGACCTAAGGTGTCGAATGACCACGCGAGACGAACAGATTGATACGGAGTGTACGCCGTGTACGTTGAGCTCACCACTGCAAGTTGGGAGAACAAGTTACACGTGACCGCTCTCAACTGTTCCATAAAGAGCAGGGTGTCTTGCAGCGGTTGCAGCTTCTCGGCGAACGATCGTCGTAATTCACTCTCAGAGAGCGACTCTTCGTCATCCGGTCTCTCTCCCAGCGTGGCAAGCATGGGATAAATCGTCTCGTGCGCTATTCTGTTCAACCGTTGCGTCTCTTCGCCCAAGTGCGCCAATATCATCGTCGATTTACTCAGCAGCGCGTTCTCGCATCGCACGAGATCTTCGATTCGAACTTCCTCTCGCGAGTCTCCGCTTAGACCGACCACTTCTTCGCCCTCGAGTCCCCTCCCGGTGGCGCGATTCAAAACGCCCGCCTCCTTCACCCGCTCCGCCGTCTCTCTCGTCTTCTCCCCGAACGCGTCAACGTGCTCTAACAACCCGTTCAACGTTTCCTGCACGATCGCCTTGGCGTTCTCGACGTACTCCTCCGGCACTGGTTCCCTCGTCGACGCCACTAACCCGTCATCCTCCCCCGAGCGTTTCGCCGGTCGTTGGTTGACACTGAAATCATCCAAGTCCTCCTCCATCGTCCGAGCGACGCTCGCTTCGACCTCGACGCCCGTCTCGAGGTCTCTCTCGATTGCCCCCGACTCGCTCGAGGTCTCACGTCGACGTCCGCGTCGCTCTCGGACGCGCGTCACGGGTGGGACGAGCGATGGGTGGGCGTGCGGCGTGACACCCGCGTGTGTCCCCGACCCGTCCCGAGGTCGCGTGCGCACCGCACACGCGGTCGCGCTCGAAGCCGACGGACGGCGCGACGCGCGTCGTCGTCGTCGTCGTCGTCGGCGTCTCGTCGTCGTCGTCGTCGCGCACCGCGTCGTCGTCGTCGTCGACCATGTCGAGCGTCAAACGCTCGAGGTCTCGCGCGCTCGTCAGGGCTCGAAAGCGTTCGCGTCAGGCGTCGGTGAGAGACGACGCGACGACGCAGGGCGAACGCGCGGGAGCGTGGACGTCAACCGCGTCTCATCGGACGCCCGACGCACCGTCGACGTCGACCGCGATCGCGCTCCCAAGGACGTCGGCGCCGTGGTTCAGTCGAACGCTGGACGCGAGACGCGAGACGGCGTTTGAGCGGTACTACAAGCACCAAGGGATTGTGAGCGAGAACGAGTGGGAGACGTTCTTGAAGTCGCTACGAACGCCGTTACCGGTGACATTTAGGATGAATCGCATGAAGTCGCGACGAGAGGACGTGAGAGAGGCGCTGAGCGCGGCGAAGGAATTTTTGGAGAACGCGCGCGAGCTGCGAGACGACCGAGGACGAGTCATCTCGCCGCCGACACGATTACCTTGGTGCGACGGATGGCAGCTCGGTACGGATAAGATCACGCTCAAATTCACGCGAGATAACCCGACGTTGAGGGCCATCCAACGCTGGCTGGTGAAGTATAACAATACTGGGGTGCTCACGCGGCAGGCGGTGGACTCCATGGTGCCAGCAGCAATTTTGCAAGTGCAGAGCCACCACCGCGTGTTAGATATGTGCGCGTCTCCGGGATCGAAGACCACACAAGCGCTGGAGGCGCTCAATATGGATGCCGTGGACGGCATAGTGAGCGGTTGCGTCGTCGCGAACGATATAAATCCTGTTCGATGTTACTACCTCGTGAGAAGATGCGCCGCATTGGGTAACGCAACGGCAAATCTGATGGTAACAACACACCAGGCGCAGTGGTATCCAAACGTGAACGTTCCACTCGAGACCGAGGCGCCTGTAGAGAGTGGTGGACGATATCCCGAGGGTTCGTACGATCGAATTATTTGCGATGTCCCTTGCTCGGGTGACGGGACGCTCAGAAAAAATCCACAAATTTGGAGTGAGTGGCGCCCAGAGTTTGCCATGGGTCTGCACAAACTCCAGCTCCGCATCGCTCAGCGAGGTGCGGCCCTGCTGAAAGTTGGTGGATACATGGTATATAGCACTTGTTCGTTCAATCCCGTGGAGAACGAGGCTGTTGTCGCGGAGTTAATTAAGCGTTGTGGCGGCGCGCTCGAAATCGTAGACGCCTCGGATCGAGTCCCTGAGTTACTCCGTCGACCGGGCGTGTCGAAGTGGACCGTCATGACGATGGCAGAAGAAAACGTTGTAGAGTATCCGACGTACGAGGACAGTCAGTCGGAGTCCGTACCGATCGGATTGAAGAGAAAGTTCGCAAAGTCCATGTGGCCACCCGTCATCCAAGGGGGCGGCTCTCGCATGGGTGCACTCGGCAAGCGCATAAAATCGACCTCATCAATTCCGCTTGAGAGATGTATGAGACTCGTGCCTCATCTGCAAGATATGGGTGGATTTTTTGCAGTCCTCCTGAAAAAGATTGCGCCAATCCCGGGCCCCAAAGCGACGGGGTCGCCCACGGAAAAAGTTGACAAGACGTACAATCGCCAACCGCCAAACCACGTGTACGCAAAAGTGTCGAGTGAACTGATCGATAGACTGGCGAACGAGTTCGGACTGGACGCTGGTTTCAAGAAAACAATTGCACCGAATTTGTTCGCCCGCTCTAGCAAAGATCGTTCCATCGTGTATATCGCAGACGGTGTCAAGAAGCACTGCATAGAGTCGCGTGGAGCAGAGCGAATGAAGTGCGTCTGGTCCGGCGTCAAAATTTGGGAGAGGTCCGAACGTGATGATTTTTATATGCTCACTCAAGACGGTATGCATATGATCAAGTCGCACATATCTCGGCGAAAGATAGAGTTGCCGCGATCGGAGCTCAAGGTGGTACTGGAGACACTGGGGCGTGAAGTTCGTCTTGAGCAGTTATCCCGCGAATCGCGCAAAGTAATCAGCGCATTTTCTCCAGGATCGCTCGTCGTATCGCTCAAAGGAGGTAACGAAGGTTTGGCATTACCAATTGTGGTTAATTATACTGCCAACGGCGCTCTGAAGCTTATCTGGCGATTCAGGAAGGGGCTCGAGCAAGCGCCAAAGGCAAAAATTCGAGCACTGCTGAGTGGGCTCGAGTGAATGTGTGTGAAGAATGTTTCTCATAAGCACTAGACTAGATTATAGCTTGTTTCATAGATCACTTGTTCTCATCAGAGAGTTTTTCAATCGCCTTCGTCGCGGCCACGTGAAATCCCTCGGCCTGTGACTGTGCGTTTGAGGCTGCCGCGCGCATTTTCAGCGCAAACGTGCTCATCTTTGCAACCGCACCAGCGGCGGCGTTCTTACACGAGAAAGACACTCCTTTGCCACCCTCCATCAACTTAAACGTCTGACCCTTGAACAGGGCGGCGTTCAGCATCAAGCGATAGTTACCCTTGGCTCGCATGATGATTCTAGAGCCGTTTTCACCCTCGTTCAAGCGCACGTCTCCTCTGCCGCGGTCCAGCCAGCGCGATCCCTCGTCATCCGTAACGAATTCAAACAGCGCCCCCTCGGTGCGGAACGCGCACGTCTCATCCTCCTCACCATTTTTGGTTTCGATGATCCCGAGCTCCACCACGGGTTTGATTGAATCGTTTGCAACCTCTCGCTCGGGATCGTCTTCACCCTCTTCATCGTCCTCCGCCTCTGTCTTCTTCCCCGCCCCGAACAGGGCCACGGGTGCGCTCGCGGTCGCGATCGCTTTCGACGCAAATCCACCTCCGGTGTTCGCCGCGGCGAACCCACCGAATCCACCGCCGCCAACTCCACCGAATACTCCTCCGCTCTTCAAGCCGCCGAAGCCGCTCCCGGCGAGCGCGCTCCCGAACCCGCTCGCCGTCGGTTTCTCCTCGCTCGTCGACTTGGTCGTCGTCTCGTTCTCTCGAGCGGTATCTTCAACCTTTGCATCTTTCGTCTCCTTCGTCTCCTCTTTCGTCTCCACCGTCTTCGTCGTCGTCTCCTCGGTCGCACCGTCCGCTCGAGCGATCTTTCGTCTCTTCGCCTCTCGCGCGTCGTCGTCGTCGTCGTCGTGACGCTCGCGGTCCGTCTCTCTGTCGTCCACCGCACGCGTCGTCTCGCTCGTCATCGGTCAGCGCCCGCCGCTCGTCTCGCACCGCTCGCCGTGCTTTGGGGCGTTCGCCGAGCGCGCGGATGACGATCAGGTCCACGACGTCGATGTTGGCTGTGAAAGATGTCGCTGTGCGCGCGCATTGCGCCGCGTGTCACGTCGTTCGGTCGCGATCGCGATCGAACATGCCCGCATCGCGCGAAGACGAGATCGCTCGCGCGCTCCGAGACGCGATCGAGGCGCTGGAACCGATCACGCGCGGTCAAAAAGTCGCATTCGAGCGAAGACTGCGAGGCGGCATCGCGCAGTGCGCGTCGTACGAGGACGAGATGGCGATCGCGTCGGCGATGTCGGTGATCCCGATCGAAAGGTTGAAACTAGAGGGACACACGGCGTCGATGACGATCGCGGGAGACGAGGGCGCGGACGTGGAGAGCGTGGAGAGCGCGGAGAGCAGGATGGAACGGTTGAGCGCGAGAGACGCCGAGTTGCTCGCCCTCTTGCGGTGGTTCAAGGAGGAGTTCTTCTCGTGGGTGGATAAGCCGCCGTGCGAACACTGCGGTGGGAGCGAGATGACGTCGATAGGAGTGGAGGTGAACGCGCTCACGGCGGAGGAACGCGAGGGGGAGGCGGGACGAGTCGAGCTTTATCGATGCGGCGCGTGCGTGAAGACGACGCGTTTTCCGAGGTATAATTCGGCGATTAAATTACTCGAAACTCGACGCGGACGATGCGGGGAGTGGGCGAACGCGTTCACGCTGTGCGCTCGAGCAATGGGTTTTCGAGCGCGTTGGTGTCTCGATTGGACGGATCATGTGTGGACAGAGGTGTATAGCGAGAGTCAGAGGCGTTGGCTTCACTGCGACCCGTGCGAGAACGTGTGTGACAAACCGCTGCTGTACGAGTGTGGTTGGGGTAAGAAACTTTCATATGTCATTGCGTTCTCAATCGAGGGAGTTTTCGACGTCACGCGGCGATACACTCAGAACATGCGAGAGCGATATCGTCTTCGAGGCGAAGTCTACGAGCCTTGGCTCAGGAAGCGCCTGGCCGAGCTCACTAGCGAGCTCCGGTCGGCAATGCTGCCCAGCGAGATCAAAGAACTCGAAGTGCAAGATGTAGTCGAGCGTGCCGAGCTCGGTAGACCTGCGGTGGACGTGGGTGAATCGTTACCTGGTCGCCAAACTGGTAGTTTAGCATGGCGTCGAGCGCGAGGTGAGCTTGGGCCGTCGTCGTGAGTGTGTGTAATAGCTAATGTGTGTAAAGTTAAGCGTAACAAAGAACTAAGCTAAAGTCGTACGCGCTTAGGTCCGCGCACGGAGTGCATTAAGGCTAAGACAACGGTAAATAGAGTCAAGGCGCCCGCCTGGTGCGCAGAGCCGAGTTCGACCGGGACATGATGAAGCAACGTGGTAATTCCGAGAGTCACCTGCCCCGCCGTCGTGGCAAGCAAAGCATGAAGAAGTACCCGCGTTCTTGGATGCAACGCCGCGGAGTTGCGATGGCCGAGCCAAACGGCAGTGACACTCGCTAGCGTTGTCAAGGCGAGCACGCGATGGTCAAATTGCACCGCCGCTGTGTTTTCGAAAAAATTTCTCCATCCTTTCTGATCCCATTGATCGAGGTATTCCTCGGGAATCCATCTACCGCCCATGAGTGGAAACGTGTTGTACGCTCTACCCGCGTCCATACCGGCGACATAAGCCCCAGAAATGGCTGTCACGCCGATGAGAGCGGCGAGAGGGTGCACAACTCGGTGAAGACGCCTCGTGGCGTCGATGAGCGCCTGACTCGCCCCAGCGCTCTGGCTCGGTGATGACGGATAGATGACATTCAGCGTCGTCCAAAGCATGCCCGTATAAATAGTGAAAGCACCAGTTAAGTGCGTCGCCAATCGATACGGACTCACGCGAGGGACGTCGTAAGAAAATTCTTGCTCCTCGAGACCACTCTTCACCATCCACCACCCGATCATCCCTTGCGTCGCGCCGAGGACGAAGAATACGCCCAACCTCTTCGCAAGCGCCGAGGTGATGTACCCCTTCGACGCGAAGTACGCGAGCGGACCGACGAAGTACAACCCCAACACGCGTCCCCACATTCGGTGCCCGTACTCCATCCAATAAATAAACTTATACTCCTCCACCGTCATTCCGAGGTTAGACTTCTTGTATTCCGGACTCTGTTTGTACTTTTCGAACTCCCTCGCCCAATCCTCATCCGTGAGCGGTGGGTGCTCGTACTCGAACTTCCAATCTGTCATCGACAGCCCGCTTCGCGTGAGCCGCGTCATTCCGCCCAAGACAACCATGGAGAACACCCACGCGCACCCTCCACCGAGCCACCACGCCACCTGACGTACCGCGCGATCGCCTCCGACGACCAAGTGCGTCGTGATCGCCGGACTCGCCGCCGTCGTCATCCCTCGCTTCGCGACGCCCGCGGTCATCGACCCGGCGGTCGCCGCCTTCGCCGCCTTCGCCCACGCGCTCACCCTCCCGCTCGCCGCCGTCGTCCCCCACCGCGCCCCCATCGCACTCGTCCCACCTCTTCCCCCGCCGCGCGCGAACGTCCGAGCCCTCGACACCGTCGTCGCGTCGACCGCGAGCGCGGTTCGCGATGTACACGTCATTCGTCCCATCGCGCGCGTCCACGCGCACGCGTCGACCGCGCGCGTCGCGTGCGTCCCGACCCCTCGCGCGCGCGTCGCCGCCGTCGCCATCGCGCGCGCCCTGGACGCCATCGTCGGGCGCGCGCGGTCGAGCGCGGTCGACGCGCGGTGGCGCCGACGTCCCAGTGACGACGCGCGTTTTCATTTAAAACTTTTCAATTTCAATGCAATCACCGCGTCACGCTCGAGAGCGCCTCGCGCGCGGTGACGACGATGCCGCGGGACGCGCGCGGGGGCGACGGAGGACGCGATCACGCGCCCGCGTCGACGTCCTCGGCGTCGGCGTCGGCGGGACGGGCGAGCGAGCGCGACGCCGCGAACGCGCTCGCTCGAGCGCTCGAACGCGAGTGGACGACGGATGCGTTGGATGACGTCTTGCGAACGGTCGTCTCGGCGTGTGGGTGCGTCGACGCGCGTGAGAGAGATTTGGAGATCGCTCGAGAGCGCATGATCGAGGGCGTGGACGCGGTGGGACGGATGGTGGAGGCGGACGAAGACGGAGGCGACGCGAGCGTCGCGCGGAGAGCGCTGGAGTCGGTGTCTCGAGCGTTTTGCGACGCGGCGATGGGGGCGGTGACGAGAGAGGAACGATCGAGATGGTTCGGTGCGCTCGTGATGGCGGCATCGACGTCGGAGGCGGCGATGGTGGCGGCGATGGCGGCGACGAGACGGGCGGCGGCGGCGCGTGGCGGGTTCGAAGATGAGACAATTAGAGGAGACCTACGTATTGCGAGCGGCGTCGACGGCGTCGCTCTGGCGCTCGTGATTGCCGCCAGAGGACAAGAAAGCGCCAGATCGATTGCGAGACGGTCGATAGCGAGCGATTTAGAGCAAGCGATGGCGGTTTGCGACGTCGAGTCGCTGTACGATTTTGCAGAATATTTGTTGTCAAGTCTTGACGCGCACGACGCGCACTCGTTCAGGGCGATCGCTGCTCAGGACGTAACGCTTCGCATTCGAATCGTCATCACGCTTCTTAAGCGCTTCATCGAGAGCGTGGGTACGATTGACGCCACCCTGCGAGTGTTCGAGGAGTTGGTTCAGTTTGATTTTGGTGACCGAGTGGGAGAGCTCATGAGTGATGCGCGACGAGCGATCGAGTGCTTACCCGAGTTGAGCGCATCTATTGGTGAGGACATGGCGTTGCAAGTCGCTTCAGCGCTGGCTCGAATTGTCGACGCCAAGTCTGTCGGCGTGTTGTTCCAAAGTGGCGCGTCATTTAATTCAGTGGCAGGCTTACGGATGTTCGGAGAGATGATGAAGGCCGACAGGCGCGTAAGCGAGGGAAATGAAGCGCTGGAAAACGCTCTCGTAGACGATAGAATGAGCGTACGACGCGAGGCATTCGCTGTTACGACCAGTTTACTCAACGGAGGAATTTTCGTGGACGAGAAGACTCTCAATAAGGCTGAAGCGGAGGCTAAAGTGGATGCCATTTTGTCGATCAACGAGGTACTACGGACATTTTCTCGACAGCACGAAATTCCTATCATACGATCGGATATGGTTCAGTCGCTGACGGAATCGCTTGGATTGATTTTGGCCCTCGACGCGAGTGGAAAATCAGTCAAGAATAGAGATATCGTGAGAAACTCACTTCGCATGCTCTCGGCTCTGAGTGAATGTCTCGTCATTCAGGCACGCTTTGCAAGAGACAAAGAAGGTGATGATATCACTTTCATGGAGGCTGAGGCGTTTGAAGACGCGAAGGACCGACCCGAGTCGCACGTGCTGGCTGAGTTGTTACCGGTAGTGGAGGTTGTGCTGGAGTCAATGCTCTCGCATTCAAAATGGTTCAAAGATGTGTTGGAGCTCCTGGAGCGACCAAAAGTGGACGATGATTCCAGCGGGACGTTGGAAAGCTGGATTACGCGATTACTCTTCATGCATCTCCAGCTCAGTTGTGGTGCATCTAGGAAGGTGAGCGGATCGTCAATTTTGTCGATTGCCAGTTGCGCTCGACTTCTCTCCGACGAGGCCGAATGGCCTGAGGAACTACAGCGGCACATCACGCGTGTATGCGCTAAGACGTTACATGCTACGCACGTGTCATCAGGCGATTCGCACCTTTCGAGGCCATATTCTGAGCTCATGGCTGACTGCGCTCGCCAAAGCGTCGAACTTTTGCGTGATGACTGGTTCGCTCTCCGCGGAATCAAAGTCGCCTTGGATCCGAAATCATGGTCCAATCACGGTGCTTTAGAGGCGATGAGGGCGTTTAAGGCACTCTGTGAGGTTGCCGTGAGTTGCTCCGCATCTTCAGATCCTGAGCTGTGTGTACTTCAAAACGTGATGCGTGCATCGTTCACAGACGCCGAGTTAGAACAGGCCGCAAAGGATGTCGTCTTGTTCAGCAAACCACACCTCGGGAGAAAAGCATTCGAAAGTGCGGGACGTTTGGGTAAAGAAGCACCCCTTTCCGGCGCCGTTGCGTTGTTCGTCACATCGTTGCGCTTTCAGTTTCTAGATACATACTCGGGACGCGACGCTAACGCTGCATGGAACAACGTCGCAAAAGAGGCATTGAACGTACTTACCGTCATCCTTCCGATGACCACCTACGAAAGATCAAAGTCACATCTGGTGGAAGCTTCCATGGTCATGCTTGAGGATGCATTAATTACAATGCAGGATCTGCCTGTCGAGTTGACTTGTCAACTGGCTTGCGTCATTTTACGTCATAATAGACGAAAATTCCCGCTAACAGACTGTGTTAGGACTGCTTCAATGATGTTAAAAATCGTATTGAGTTACTCGTTGACGTCCATACCGGATGAGTTCGAAGACTTACTCAGCATGATTAACGATATCATTTCAGAGCTTTCATCGGATGCGTGTGTTGATAAGATAGTGAAGGAGGATGTGCTTATCTTGTTGACGCCTGTTTTGGTCAAGACGGGTGAAATGTTGTGGCGTCACTTGCATTCAAGGCAGAGGACCCTTGATGACGTCGAATCCATCTTCCTCGAGCTCGGTTCCCGTGCATTCGATTACTGCATTTCAGCGGCGACCGAGCTCACTCGCGCGGATGGAAACGAAAAGAAATTAGAGAGTGAACGGCGACACGCATCTTTAGTTCTAGCGGGTGCGCGTCTTCATCACTGCACCGAGAAGATGTCGCGTCTTTATGACACAAAGTTGTTGGGTGCGTTTGAGCTCAAGCGCCGAAACTTCATGGTTGTTTGCGCAGGCGTTTTCACCAATCTGAGGGCACTGCAACTCCTTGCGACTAGAAGTTCACCCCTTGACCGCGGTCTGATAGCCATCGGCAACGCGCTTGCCATGGACGATATCGAGTCTTATGCCGATAATTTGTCGCGACTCGGAGAGAGCGTTCAAACCGTCAGTGGGGATGTGCTGCAGCACATGTCAAACGTGGTCTCTCGAGAGAATCCCGCTTCGAAGCCACGTAAACGCATCAGAAATCCGTACCTAGACGCTGTCGTCGCTCGAGAGGGAGGTGGTCAAGACGAGTACGACGACATGGCAGACTTCATTGTGTGTAAACCTGGACGGGATTACTCACGAATAGTGTGAGAGGTTTGTCTTATATGATCATATACTAGGGGAGTTTCTAGGGAGTAGCTAATGTAAACGCAAGATCGTAGCAGCAAGATAACGGCGCTTATGCCACGGGCGCGCGCAGGGTGACGTCCTCCTCGCCCTCCGTGGTGGTCGGTATCATGAATGTTGTGGCAAGCGTCCAGGAGGGCATTTGAACTTCGGCGCCCTTCGTGGACGCCAAGGAGCGAACGCCGTCCGCGGGAGAAGCGAAGGGCATGTTGGCCAGGAAACCTTGCAACTGCGCCTCGATGCGAAGCTTCTCGTGCAGCAAAATTTGCTTTTCCTTCCTGAGCGCTTCCCGTTCGATGGCGAGCGCTTTAGTGAGCTTTGCCTTTTGAATATTATCCTCCTGCAAGCGCATGATCCCTTCGGCCAACCTCGCGTGCTCCGCGCGCAGGCGCTTGATAAACACCGTCGCCGCCGCGACCACCGTGGCCTTATCCGCCTTCGTCGCCGCTCCCGGCTCGAGCACCGCCTGGAGCTCCTCAAAGCGACTGTTGAGCGCGTCCCTGCGCTTCTTCTCGCGCGTGCTCTTCGTCTTCTTCGCCCCCTCGCTCAACGTGCTCGTGCGCACACCGTTACCCACGCTCGCGTTCTCCACCTCATTCTCTACCTCGTCCACAGCCTTGCGCTTCTTGGACTCCAAACCTGACTCGCTCTCCCCCCTAGGCACCTGACCGACCTCAGCCTCGTGATCACCCACGAGCGGTTGCTCGAACGCCTCGACGTCGTCCAACAACGCGCTCGCGACGTCACCGTCAAAGGTGGAGAAAAACTCATTCAACCAATCGCTCGATCCCATCAGCGCGGCGTCGATCGCGTCATCCACCGGCGTCGTCGCCATCGCCCTCGTGCTCGACGCCGCGGGTTTCGCGTCCGCGTCGAGAATTTCCCGCGAACGATCGCGTTCACGAACGCGTGCGCTCGACTCTCGCGCGCGGTGCGACGATTGAAAGAGTTTCGCGCGCGTTCGCGGTTGTTCGACCGCGCGCGTCGAAAGCGCTCGCGCCGAACAGACGCGAGGTCGAGGCTAGGGAGATGACGCAGGCGCTCGAGGGGTCGAGATCTTGGAGAGAGGATTTTTTTTTGATCCGACGAAACCATTCTGTATATGTACACGCAACAAATCTATCGGTCCTAGAATTCTGACTCTACTATGGGGATGGTTCGAGCGCGTCCTGTAGGTCCTTCAAAGAAACCGTGGCGCTTCCACGCGCCTTGGGGAGCTGTTGGGACGCGTGCGGGCGCCAACCGGTCATGTACATGATCTCATACGTAGCCTCGATCGGGTTCGGTGGAGAAGCGCTCCGAGCGTCGCTGGCAGAATCGCTCGTTCTCGAGCTGTCGCTCGGGGGCGCCGGAAACTTCTCCGAATACAACGCGCTCGTCGCGGCCGCGGTGGTGCGAGGCAAGAAGGAGCGACGCATAATGTTTGCGTTCGTCTCACCCATCGCTCTCAAGTGCTCGACGAGCTCGTGAGGAGAGCCGTAGCAGACGTTGACAATGTCCACGTCAACCGCCGGAAGAGTTAGTTCTGCTCTGCCGAGCAGACTTCCGCAATCTCTCACGTGCGCTAACGGCGAAACACGCGCACTCACGCCACCCTCATACTTGGTCTCGGCTAATGCGCACGCCGCGCGAAGCTCCTGCAAAGTGTTCCCGCCAAAGATGCAGGATAAAAATAACCCGTCAGGCACCAACGCCTGAGCCGCGCTCGTCATGGCGCCAGGCAAATCGTTCACCCAGTGCAGACCGAGACAACTAATCACGGCGTCGACGGAACCATCTCGAATGGGCAAATTCTCTTCGTCTCCCTGGACGTACACCACGTCGACCTCGGTCCCCAATTCCGGCGGCCCCGGTCCTTCGGGGAATTTTGGTCCACCCCAACGCGGCGGCCGGCCGGCCGAACGGAAAATCTAGCATATCTCGAGACAAGTCCACGACGACGATCTTTTCCACGTCGTCCCTCTCTCCTAGTAACCTTCTCATGATCGCTTCGCTCGCCCCACCCAAGACGATCACTCGCTTGAATCTCCTTTTGATGTCTCGCAACCGATCGAGCAAACGCCGCGCGAGCTCGTCCAACAACACATCCGGCACCCGTCCCGGAGCACTCTTCACCGCCTCACCCTGTAAGAACGCCGCTCGATCTCGGTGCGCTCGCACGACGTCTCGATCGAAAACCATCATCTCGCGCATTCTCGATCGCGTTGTCGCGTCCTTGAGCATCGCCCGACGCGCTCGCTCGCGCTCGTTGGCCCGCTCGACGTCCACGATGAGTTCGTTCTCCACATCTAATCCGCGCACCGCCGACGCCAAACATCGCGATTCGCGTCGACGCGCGATCGAGGACTCGAGCGCTCGTCGCACCGACGCGCTCACTCGGGCGAACCGCGTTGACATTCGACGCGCTCTCGAATGAGCGCGGGCGAGCGAGGTGAACGCGATGCGCTAGGGTACAGAAATCCAGCCAAAAATCTTCGAAGCGCCACTCGCGCGCGCCACGTCGACAATCGCGATGGGCGTCGAGTGTGCGAACGGGAAGTGTCAATCGTGGATCGATGATGAGCTGGATGCCATGGGCGAAGCCGGCGCGCACATCCCGCGACCGGGCGGGTGCTGCGAAGAAGATGCGAAGAAGCAGAGAGAGGCGGCGACGATGTTGCGAGAGTTGCGCGCGGTCGATCGATCGGTGGAGCGAATCAAGCTCGCTGAATCGATCGTGAAGGAGGGCGCGCGCGATGAGGACGAGCATGATGACGATTGGGCTGCGACGGACGATGATGAGGATGAGGACGCGTTCTTGCGCGAGCTCAAGGCGAGACGCTTGCGCGAGCTCAAGGGCGCGGCGGCGAACGCCGCGGCGGAAGCTCGCAGGGCTAGGTACACCGAGATTAAGGAGACCGCGCTGGGGGAGACGCTCCGGGCGAGCTCGAGGGTGGTGGCGCACGTAGTGTTAGAGGGGGCGGAGCAGTGCGCGCGCATCGACGAGGTGTGCGATGACCTTGCACCGGCTTTTCCGAAGACGAAATTCGTGCGGATTCGACCGAGCGTGGATGCGTCGGTGATGAAAAAAATTGGCGTTGTGGCGTTACCGGCGGTCTTGATATTCCATCGTGGAAGACTCGCGCATGCGAGCTGCGCGCTTGAGGAGTTCGGTGGCGCGGACGACTTTGATGAGGAGCGCGTCACGCGCTGGTTAGCGCAGCGTGACGCGCTTCCAGGACACCCACTCGCGGGTACAGAGAAAATAATGGATAGCAACGCGTCATCGGACGAGAACGAGAGCGACGATGAAGTCTTTGGCATGAATAAACCGTGCGAACAATGCGGTCGCACGTACCCGCACAAGCACATTAGAGCTCTTCGTCCGGGTGAGTCCATGCATCGACGGGAGAACAATTCAGACGATGACGACGACGATGACTTTTGATAAAATTCTTCCGTCTAACGGTAGCTGATGTGTCAGAAACGTTAAATGTAGACCTTGGAGCCCTTGATACCGTTGATGAACGCGCCTGTGGGCATCACCTTCTTACCCGGCGGCTGGACCTCGAGCAATTCCAACCATCCTCCTCCTCCACAAGGCACGCGAAGTACTTTTTTCGACACTTCCACTTCTCCGTTCGCAGCCTTTGCATCGCCTTCCTCTGAGACGCGCGTGGTGGCGATTTTGAGCACCACTTCCTTGGCCTCTTCTTCTCCGTTCGCCTTGACCTTCAGAGTCGCCTTCGTTCCCGGCCACCCGGCAAAGGCGCGCACTTTGTTGTGGCACTCAATCGCGGATTGCTTGGCGAAGTTCAACTCTCCTTCTTCCGGGCTGACTTTCGCAGCATGGCTGAGCGTCGCCTCATCTTGAGGAACGGCACGCGCCGCCGCCTCGCCCGCGAACACGGACGGAAGCTCCTCCAATAGTGCGTTTACACCCGTCTCAAAGAGTTCGGTTAGGAGCTCCGGTGCCTTCTCGTCGCCCTTGAGTGGACGAGTGATTTGTCGCAGAACCGGACCCGCGTCCATCTTGAGCACCGTGTACGCCACCGACACGCCCGTCTCGCTCTGTCCGCTCTCCAACGCGCGCTGCACCGGCGCCGCGCCGCGCCATTGCGGCAACAGACTCGGATGAATATTCAAAGTCCCAAACTTTGGAATGTCGAGAAACTTTTGCGGCAAAAAGTTGCCGTACGCCGCCGTGACCATCACATCGACGTCGAGCGCGCGCAGGGCGTCTAAAAACCACTCCTCGTTCGCCTTCTCCGGGCACAGCACGCGATCTTCCGCCATCCCGCGCTTGAGCGCTAACTCCGCCACCGGCGACGGCGGCGGCACGTCGCTCTTCCGCCCTCTTCCTCGCGGCCGTCCCGGCTGCGAGACCACCGCGCACACCTCGAACGTCGCGCTCTCCGCCTCAGCGGCGTCCAAAACCTTCCCCAACACCTCGCTCGCGCACTCCGGGGTTCCTAAAAAAACCAATCGCGACTTCCCCGGCGTCGCGTTCGTCGTCGCGCTCCCTCGCGCTCCCGCGGACGCCGAACTCGACGCGCCTCTCGCGCTTCGGTGTCTCCCGCTCGACGCGCCCGCGCGTGCGACGCGCGCGCACGTCGCGCTCGTCGACGCCGCGCACGATCGCGCCATCGTCAGCGCGCGCGCGCACGTCGCCGTCGCCGCGCGCATCGCTCGCGCGCGCGCCGCGCCCGTCGTTGGCGTCCGACGACGAGTCGACCGGTCGTGACCCGGGAAAAGTTGACCCAGCGCCCGAGGGATGCGATCGTCGTCGTCGCGTCGTTCGCACACGTCGACGTCGCCGCGTGGACGTCATGTTCGCCGCGCGCGCGCTCGCACGCTTGGGAGCGATCGCGTCGAGGGCGTCGGCGGGAGCGACGGCGACGACGAGCGCGTCGACGGCGGCACGCGCGATCGAGGACGGCGCGGCGCCGAGCGCGATCGCGTCGCTGACGCGAGCGTTGCGAACGATCAAGTCGTTCGCCCCGGGGGCGACGATCGGTAAGTTGAAACCCGAACCGCGCGGGATGGAGGCGCCGATGACGAGCTTCGAGGCGGGGGCGCGGCAGGAGGGATGGGGGAGCGCGGGCGGAGGCGCGGCGCCGTGGACGCCGACGAGGGAGCTGAAGAAGAGAAAGAGTTACTTCAAACGGTGCGGGCACATGATGGAGACGCTGGAGCGTGAGCGAATGAAAGAACTCGCGGCGGAGCGAGTGATCGTACCGTTTCGACCGGGAGACGTGGTGAAACTCACGCTGGAGGTGCCGGAGAACATGAGGAAGACGCAGACCTTCACGGGGATCTGCATAGCGAAGAGGCACCGTGGGATGGGATCGAGCTTCACGTTGCGATCCGCGGTGGGTAATCTCGTGGTCGAGAGAACGTTTCCTCTATTCACGCCAAACATCAAGGGGATGGAGATCTTGGAGCGAAGGAAAGTGCGACGCGCAAAGCTCTATTACCTCCGAGACAAACCGCTCAGGTACTCTCGACCTTAGTTCTAATAATAAGAAATATTCTTTTCGCGTAATTTTACAATATCAATCGATTGGTCATTTTCAACTCAACTGTGTCTTTTAATGTTTGATTCTGCTCGAACAACGCGTTCCTGAAGAACTAAAATTTATTTTCACACATCGCTCACTCACTTCTCGGAGGTACAAAAGGAGAGTAGAATGAAGAGAATGTTTGCATGTTGTCAACATTTGGAATATTTGGTATCGAAGCCACGCTGGTTCGTTGTGCCATGTTGTTGAAATTCAGTTGGTGCATTTTTGCACCGGCGGCAAGGCCGGCAGCGTACGAAGACGCCGCGAGATTTTGGTAGTGTTGCATTGCGTCGCGCTGCGCTTGCGCAGCGGCGAGAAGCTGAAGCGTCTCGTTCGCTGCGTTCGGAGACGTCAGATTACCTGTACGCGAAACGTTCACAGAAGCTGCGTTTGGAACAACGTTCTTGGGCGGCGGTTGGTAGGAGAATTCAACCCCGCGAATGTACTGCAAGCGTTGAACGAACTCTCCGCGTCGCTTACCCTCACACAGCTCCTTGTAACGCTCAACGGCTTCATGGATGAGATTTGAGGCAGCCATCACGGATTCTGGATTACCTTGAATGCAAAACACTCGGCAAGGGCGATGGTACACGCCGGCTTCCGGCGGTTGCGTCCAGGACTGAATTGTCGAGCCCGTGTGGCGCATGATTTCCCGAATGGACGCGCCGCTTGCGCCGATGACGAATCCGGCGGCTAGAAGCGTCACGCGTAGCCTCAACCCACCGTTTGCCATCACCTCGATCGATGCCACTTGTTGCTCTTCTTCCTCTACACCTTGTCCCGCTCTTCGGGGTCCTGAGGGACCGCGGAGTCGTCCGGCGAGCGCCCCGTTCAACTCATCCGCAGCCGGTGCGTGCATGCCTCCGATCCCACCGTTCGCCACCGTCTGCTGCTCCACCAACGCCTGCGCGGCGTATCCGAGTAACAGAGATTGCTCATCTGGCAAAATGCTCGTCATCTTCGCCCTACGAGCCATCTCCTGCACTTCAGAGTTCTCCGTCTCCGTCGGAGGGCTCAGGCCACCTGGGAGCGCGAACGGGACCGTCGTCGAGTCGTCCGTCCCGTCGACGATCCCTTTCGGGAGCCACAGGCTCGGATCGTTCTCGGTGTACGAGAAAAACCCATCCATGCTCATCTCGCCGCGTCGTCGATAAACTCGAGCGTGGCGTCGCCGTCAGGACGCGGTTCAAACCACGTCGACGCGGTGACCCCTCGGCGAGAAAACGCGTGAGCGCGCGATTAATGCCGAACGTCGACGCTCGCGAGCGCGCTCGAGGACGAGCGAGCGGCGATATCGATGAAAAGAAACCCCTCGCGCGCGCGAACGCGGTCGAACGCGCGTTCGATCGACTCACAAAGCGTGTCACGAGGTGAAGACGAGGCGTCGTGCGCGTTTCGGTTGCAGGCCGAGTTTGAGCCGAGGATGTTCCGCCGGTCAGGCTCGTCTTACTGTTTGCTCGCACGAGGTGCTTCACGCGGAGGACCGCGCGAGGAAAACGAACGATTTCGGTCGAGCGCTCACGCGTCGTCGTCGATGTCGTCGCACACGCGAACGTCGTACGATCGTGGAGCGTCGACGAAGGCGTCTCGGACGCCGTGGAAGAGCATCCTCTCGGAGACGCCGGACCACGCGTTGGGGTCCGTCAGGAGCGCTCGCGCGGCATCCACGAGGGCGTCCGCGGCGAAGCGCTGGGCCGAGAACGCGCTCGCGGTGGCGATGTCGTCTTCATCCTCTATGTCGTCGCCGATGGACGTCGGAACGTCGCCCGGGCGAAGGAACGAGAGCGCCGACGCTGACGTTTGTGTGGGCGTCTCTTCGGCTTCCGTCGCTAGCGCGGGATCTCTCAGCGCACGCTCGAGCGCGTGTAAGCCGTCCCAAGACGCATCCTCCGCGGAAGAGTACACGTTCAAAGTGACGTGCGGAAATATCACGCTCAGATATCTCGGACATTCCTTTGCCGGAGAGTGCGCGTCGCCAAACTTCCGTTCCTGGAGTGATGTCGTGATTCCCAGACACGTCCTCGTGGACATCCTGTACCGCTTCCCGTCCAGCTCGCACTCGAGCACGACGCGCTCCTTATCTGCCGCGCTCGTCGACCCGGTGGTGCCATCGCTCGACGTCGCCCGCGCCCGCGTGGCGATGAAGCGCGCATCCACGCTCGCCGGATCCCTCCACGTCTCCGTGATCCCGAACGTCACGTGCGACGCATCCGAGGCGAGCGCGCCCCGGAGCTCGATCCCTTCGTCCGCGTCATCGACATCCGTCGCCGTCGCCCCCGATCGATCGTCTTTGACGTTCGGATGCATCGACGATCCGCTCGCGCGCCGTTGCTCGCCGTACTGTTCCGAGACGCTTCGCGAGAACGAGCACGCCCCTCGAAAGATCTCCTCGCGCTCGATCGCGCCGTCCACCGCGCTCGCGACGGGCGCGAGCCACGATTGCGCGGCGAAGAACGCGAAGCGGTCGCACATCGACGACGACGCGCGCGCGAGTGCCGGCTTTCTCGAGGCCGCAGCCAGGTGCCTTGTTACACAAATGAGTGGCGTCACGCACGGGACCGTCGGACCGAGCGCGGGGCGCGACGCGCGAGACGTCCGCTCGAAGCGCGGGCCGGTGGACGGCGGCGACGAGCGATCATGGAAGAGGTGCGAGGGCGAGCGCGCGATGGGCGTCGAGCCGCGCGCGGGGGCTCGTCGTGGTGGACGGCGTGGAGACTTTCGAGAGAGGACGCGGACGAAGGATCGTCGGGATCGTTTCTTCATCGATTGGCGACGCTGAATGGACGATCGAAGCGAGCGACCTGTGCGCAGGCGGACTGACGACGCCCATGTGTCTTTATGACGCAGTTGGATGAGCTCCCGGCGAGCTCGGAGGCGCTTCAGGGGGAGATTCGCTCGTGGTTGGCCAAGTCTCGGACGTCGGCGGCCAAGGTGAAGCAAGTGCTCGGATTGCTGGATCCGGTGCGATTGGGGAACGGGGCGGAAAAGTACGAGAGACCGGAGTGGCGGAAAGACGGTCCGCCGTCGATGTATCGGGCGCACTGGAGGCATCAGGCGTGTCAGATTCTCGGGACGCAGGAGTCGGCGATACCAGAGAACGTCACCGTGGCGCTCAAGGCGTACCTCTGGCCCACAGCGCTGGATACCAAGCGCGCCGATCACACGGCGTGGATCATCAAGGTGCCGAAGTTTGTTTCGCGCGTCTTACACGACGCGGCGGCGGCGAACAAACAGATGCCGTCGATGGAAGACGACATGGACGTCGACATGGACGCAGAGGAGCCGGTGGGCACGGTGCGCATCTTTGTGGACCCGTTTCAAGCGGATAAGACGAAGGCTATGACACAGGGCGTCATGGAACTCACCGGAAAAGAGGCGGCGTCGGTGCCGAAGAAGTACATCTTAGCCAACCAGGCCACGGACATGCCGATGCACGTGTTCTCAGACGTTCGAGAGGGCTTGAAGCTGGGCGGGCATCAAGACATCACACTTGAAGCAAGAATTGATTTGAAGCTAGACATGCGTCCGAGTTCTATCGATGACGTCGATTACAATAGAGTTAGCAAAGAGCGCATGGAACAGGCGCAGACGAAGACGAGAGTGACGCAAAGCTCCTCGGAGATGCGGTTTGCGCCGCTACCAAAGCGCGCCAACTTGGTTCGCTTCACCGCCGACGCTGTCGGTGCAAAGACGGAGAAGAAGGAACGCATGGAGAAGAAGGCGCTGGAGAACTTGCTCTTTGGTTTGTTCGAGAAGCAACCTTACTGGAGCATGAAGCAGCTTTTGTTGGAGTCAAAGCAGCCAGCGGACTGGTTGAAGACAAACTTGAGTGAGATCGCAATACTCACGCGTCGGGGGCCAAACATGGGATTGTGGGGTCTCAAGCCGGAGTGGAAACAGGCGGGCGCGCCGGAACAAATGTCTTAGGTCTCTTTTTAATGTTGATTTAATGTTGAGTAAAACGATGTTTAGATCGAAACACCGCAACCGCGCATAGTTTGCACCGTCATCGAGCGAGGAGAGTTGATGTTTGCGAACGAGTGATAGAACCGATGATGCACGCTGTAAATCACAGATCCGGTAACTTGATTGTCGCACACGGAACTGATAACGATGAAGCCGTCGCTGACTACCCCTTCAATGCACGAAGGTGTCTCAACGCTCAGTGACCAAGCCTCAAGCACGAACTCCTCTTGCGTGGCGATGTAGGTTGAATTTTCAAACACTACCGTCGGATCAAACGATACATTAAGCGCGAAAGAGCCCGTGTGATTGAGTCGAAGTAATATCTCTTGATCAACTTTACTGTATGACCGCGCTTGCACGTCGATAGGTATGCAGGTCGAGTTCAACTTGGTCCACTCGGTCGAGCTTGCTGGATCCCACACAGCGTACACGTCACGATCGCGTAGTAAGGCTCGCCGTCGAAAATTGACGAGATTTTCATAATATCTCAACGAACCGACAATTGAATCGATGGCCTCGCTTGCAGTATCGATGGATGGCTGCATCTTTCGCAGTTCTTCTAGACCTCGAGCGTCTACGTCATTCACGAGCAAACGCCTTATCTCTCGCTCTTGATAGTCTACGATTTCACGAAGCTCCAACTCTGTGATTCCGTTCCGCACTACGTAGTTGAATTGTTCGAGGTATCTCACTACCATGTCGTTTGATCTGAGAAGCACTCGATCGATCGCGCCCTCGCTACAGTATAACCAATCGAAGCTGCCAATCGCGTCGATGCCTCCATGATGACACGTCTCGAACGAGTCGTCCGGATCCCACGCGTGAATTTTGAATCTATGTGTCAAGTCGTTCGACGAATACAAGAAAAGTTCATCCACGTAATCACCGTTTTGGACCAACGTCATGAGAGCAATGAATCGTAGGTATAGATCCACGTCCATTAGCTCGTTCAAATCATCATAACACGCGTCGCTATCACAAAGCTCACTCGCGAGGACGACTCTTTCGTATTTAACTCTGGCTGCGATTTCAGCAACTTCGGATCGACCGTCTCCAAACGTCTTCACGTCCGGTACGGCGTCCGGATCGCTCGTTCGACGGTCAGGGTCCGAACGTCTGCGTACAACAATGGATAGACTGTTGTGCTGACGCTCGAGCGAAGCTCTCGGGTCATCCATGAGTAAGTAAAGACCAAGATGCTCGAACTCTCGTGTCCCGCGGGTGTGTACTCGTAGTCGAACGTATCGAAATTGATGAGGAAATAATCCAAGCTTCCTCGCCATCGAAAGTACCAGGTGCGTCTTTACGTATCGGTCGTCGATGCACAGCGATATGAGCAAAAACTTGTCACTCAGCGAACCGGGCATCAACCTCACGCTCCCGCCATGTAATTCCACCGCGAGACTTTTCCTGCGTTTACAGTCTCGAAACGATGAGACGCCGCGAAAACGCGCCGTCGCCTTCATGCGCGGTCCGGCATCGAATCGCAAACTTAGCGGAAACTCTCGCTTTGATGACAACATTTCCTCGTATGAACCTTTGTAGAACGATCGATACGTCTCGAACGTCTCTCGTTCGCTCTGGGAGAATTCCAGCGTGATATCATCAGCGTAAGGATACTCAAGCGCTTTTGCCACGCATCGGTGCGACGAACGTCGAAGATGACGGCTCACGTCCATGTTCGGCGAGCGCACCGTGCACGCGTCGGAGTTGATCTCCAGGAGGAATCGTAATCTACCAACGCCCGCACAGCATTTGATGCGATAAAGCTCATTCCGTCGCCGATCTATCTCTTCGGCCGCGTTACTTGAGAGCTCAATGACGTCCACGCTTCCAGAGCGCGGCGGATCGATGAGTTCTCCAGGCGAGTTGTGAGTCACTGCGCGATCCATCCCATCCAAGACGAAAAATTTCACATCATCCCCTTCCTCATGCTCACGGTCACCGATGGTGAAAACATCTAAGATTTGACGAACTGCTACCTCGCTCGTGCCTCCGCTCGCGCCCGCCGCGATGAACGTCTCCAGCGCGCGCAGTGTCTCTCTCTCGTTGTTTGTCTTGTCACAAATAAGTCTCGGAGGAAGCGTTGAGGCCCAGACTTGCACATGATCGCGTCCACCCTTCTCACTCAACGTCATCACTAATTTCATCGCTCGACGCGCCGACTCGACGTCCGATAGGACGATGCACACGCTCGCGCTCGCGTTTGCTGCCCGCATCGTCGCGCACTCTCGCTCGTTCACCCGAGCCGTCATCGGCGCGCGCTCACCGTGAACCAAAATCTCCAATCCATCTCTTCCGAGTCTCTGCACCTTTCTCACCCCGAAACCGCCTCCGCACGTCTCCGTCACGCCCTTCGCCTCTGCGTGAGACACGAACAGACTTTCCCAGCCGCACACCGCGAACGCGAAGATGACCGCCGTCGCCCGCTTTCGCGTCGTCCGAGTCCCCGGAATATTCCGTCGCCGCGATGCGCTTGAATAGCTTCCCTCGCTCGTCATCGCGTCCCTTTTTTCGCCCGCGACGCGACGCGAACTCGCGCCTCGTTCGCTCGCCACCGTCACAAGGCGATCGAGGTCGCCGAGACGAAACGGCTGCTTCTTTGTGATTGTTTTGATTGGATGAAATGCCCATCGACCCTCCAGGCGATGACGTCGGTCGAGCCGTTCGAGCGTAGGGACTCCCTATGTACCAATAGGGAGGCTTGGTAACGGTAAATAAACAGCGTTCATCGATCGCGAATACGAGACATCTCCCGAGGGGCTCGCTCGTCCCCGCCAAGGCGTCGACGCCTCACACCACTGCGCGCTCGTCGCGACGCGAGAACGTCGTCGTCGCCCTCGACGTCGGAGCGAGTGCTCATCGTAAATTCTATCACTCCACCGATTCGATCGTCGCACTCGAGATCGCATCCTTAGCTTGCGTAGAGGAGGAGCTCGACGAACGAGATGAGCGCGTCGACCATCGCGGCCTCTGGGCCCAACACGACGCATCGCGCCGTGCGTTGCGCTGTTCGCTCGCGATCCCGCGTTAACGCGGTCGCGATGCGTGGGCAAAACCTTACCAGAGCTCAAGCGTCCACGTTCACCGCTCCGGGCAGCAAGACGGTGCGTTGGTCGACGAGCGCGCTCGCGCGAGGGGCTTAGGGCTTCTTTCGAAAGGTCCCCATCGGTCGAGTCATGAACCATCAAAGAGAAGATTTATTTAATGATCCACGCGCGCCGCTGCACCGCAAAGAACGAGCGGTTGAAGGCGAATGACTGACGATGCGTGACTTTGAACGTTGATCGCAGAAGTACTCTCCGTCCTTGGTGCGCATGCGTAAGGCGGCAGCGCTGCCGAAGTGTACGTCGGTGCGACTTCCGGGCGACCGGGCAAAGACGGTGTGCCTTGCCGAGCGCGGCTCGGTGTATGGCGAATGGCCGACGTACGAGGGTGGTGCGGTCGATAACACGCAATTGTTGGAGGAGCACGATGCGTGCGGCGTCGGTTTCATCGCGTCCCTCAAGGGTGAGCGCACCCACAAGACGCTGCGCGACTCCCTCATGGCGGTCGGTTGCATGGAGCACCGCGGGGCGTGCTCGGCAGACAATGATTCCGGTGATGGCGTCGGTGTGATGACGAACATTCCGTGGAAGTTGTTGGGTAAATGGGCCGACTCACAAGGCATCAAGGGCTTCGCCGAAGGTTCTTCCGGCGTTGGCATGTGTATGTTGCCGACAGATGCCGCTGCCGCGGCCAATGCAAAGAAGTTGCTCGAGGAGAGCTGCGTTGCCGAAGGTCTCGAAGTGCTCGGCTGGCGTGCGGTTCCGGTCGACAGTTCCGTCGTCGGTCCGCTCGCGAAGATGACGTGCCCGGTGCACGAACAGATTCTTGTTGCTGGTGCCGGTGTTACGGGCGAAGAGCTTGAGCGCAAGTTGTTCATCGCTCGTAAGACGTGTGAAAAGAAGGCTGCCGCTGCTGGTATGGAAGAGAGCTTTTACATCTGTACCATGGGTTCTCGCACGATCGTGTACAAGGGTATGCTGCGCTCGGCGGTTCTTGGCAAGTACTACAAGGATCTGGAGGATCCAGATTACGAGACGCAGTTCTCCATCTATCACCGCCGCTTCTCCACCAACACCACTCCGAAGTGGCCGTTGTCCCAGCCTATGCGTTTCTTGGGCCACAACGGTGAAATAAACACGCTCCAAGGCAACTTGAACTGGATGGCGTCCAAGGAGGCGGACATGGCCAACCCGATCTGGGGTGGTCGCGAACCAGAGTTCCGCCCTATCTGCTCCCCGGCGGCGTCTGACTCTGCCAACCTCGATAGAGTCGCCGAGTTACTCGTCCAAACTGGCCGCGAACCGACGGAGACGATGATGTTGCTCGTTCCGGAGGCTCACCGCAACCACCCGGAGCTTGACAGAACGTTCCCGGAGGTGCACGACTTTTACGATTACTACGCCGGTATGCAAGAGGCTTGGGATGGCCCTGCTTTGCTCGTCTTCTCCGACGGTAAGAAGCTCGGTGCTCGCCTCGATCGCAACGGTCTTCGTCCGGCACGATTCTGGCGCACGTCCGATGACTACATCTACGTCGCTTCTGAAGTGGGTGTCCTCGGTGATGTCATCTCCAACGCCAGCAATGTCGTCTCGAAGGGCCGCCTCGGTCCGGGGATGATGATTGTCGCCGACTTGGAAACGGGCGACTTCAAGGAGAACACACAAATCGCCAAGGAAGTTGCGGCGCGACACCCGTACGGCGAATGGATGAAATCCATCGAGCGCTTCAAGGGCATCAAGCCGAGCACCGCCAACACTCTCGAGCCAATCCAGCTTATTGAGTGCCAAGCTCGCGCTGGTTACGCCGCGGAAGACATCACGATGATCATCGAATCCATGGCGGCCGAAGGTATCGAACCGACTTGGTCGATGGGTGATGACACGCCGTTGCCGGTGTTGTCTTCTCGCCCGCGCATGCTCTACGATTACTTCAAGCAGCGCTTTGCGCAAGTCACCAACCCGCCGATCGATCCACTTCGTGAGGGTCTCGTCATGTCCTTGGAGATGACACTCGGTGCCAAGGGTAACTTGCTCGACACTCAAGGCAAGGAATCGCCGCCGGTCATGCTCGACACTCCGGTCCTCTTTGACTCTGAGTTGGATGCAGTGAAGAACCACCCGAAGCTCAAGACGGCGACCATCCCGGCTCGTTACGCTGCTGGTGGCGGCGCTGGTGCCCTCAAGGCGGGCCTCGACAAGCTCTGCGAAGATGCCGCCGCGGCCATCCGCGCCGGAAGCCAGTGTGTTGTTATCACGGATCGTCCGGATCAAGGTCCAGACTCCCCGGCGATCCCGTCGCTCCTCGCCGTCGGTACTGTGCACCACTACTTGATCGCGCAAGGTCTCCGTACCCGCGCGTCTATTGTCGTCGAATCTGCCTCTGCATTTAGCACGCACCACTTCGCCACCTTGATTGGCTACGGTGCTCACGCCGTGTGCCCGTGGTTGGCTTTGGAAACTTGCCGATCCTGGAGAATGTCGCCTAAGATTGAAAACGCCATCAAGCGTGGCAAGATGGGTGATGTTTCCGTCGAAGGCGTTCAAACCAACTTCAAGGCTGCGATCAACAAGGGCCTCAAGAAGATTCTTTCCAAGATGGGTATCTGTGCGATCACGTCGTACCAAGGTGCTCAAATTTTTGAGTGCTACGGCCTTGGCCCGGAAGTCATCGGTACTGCCTTTAAGGGCACCGTTTCCCGCATTGGCGGTCTCACCTTGGATGAAGTCGCCAAGGAAACGCACATGTTCATCCAATCTTCCTTCCCGGGTGAAGCCGAAGAAATGGCCAAGGTTGAAGCTCGCGGTATGTTCCAAGTGAAGCCGGGTCTGGAATACCACGGCAATAACCAAGACATGTCCAAGTTGCTTCACAAGGCTGTTGGTCTCGGTGGCGGCGAAAAGAACGACGAGTTCTGGAGCGCCTACCAAGAGCACCGCAACGACCGTCCGTACACGTGCTTGCGCGATCAACTCGAGATCAAGTCTGACCGCAAGCCGATTTCTATCGACGAGGTTGAATCCGTCGCAGACATTTGCACACGCTTCTGCACGGGTGGTATGTCTCTCGGTGCCATCTCGCAAGAATGCCACGAGTCTATCGCCGTCGCGATGAACCGCATCGGCGGTAAGTCCAACTCTGGTGAGGGTGGCGAAGATCCGAAGCGTTTCATTCCGATCTCTGATGCTGACGCGGATGGTAAGACCGAGAGCTTCCCGTACCTTCGCGGTATGCAGAACGGTGACGTCGCGTCCTCCGCCATCAAGCAAGTCGCCTCAGGCCGCTTCGGTGTCACGACGTCCTTCCTTATGTCTGCCAACCAGACTGAGATTAAGGTCGCTCAAGGCGCCAAGCCGGGCGAAGGTGGCCAGCTTCCGGGTAAGAAGGTTTCCCCGTACATTGCTTGGCTGCGACGCTCCAAGGCGGGAGTGCCGCTCATCTCGCCGCCACCGCACCACGACATTTACTCCATTGAAGACCTCGCTCAGCTCATCTACGATTTGCACATGGTCAACAAGGATTCTAAGGTGTCCGTGAAGCTCGTCGCGCAAGCCGGTATCGGTACGGTCGCGTCTGGTGTTGCCAAGGCGAATGCGGACGTCATACAAATCTCCGGTGGTGATGGTGGTACCGGCGCATCTCCGTTGTCTTCCATCAAGCACTGCGGTGGTCCGTTGGAGATGGGTCTCGTCGAAACGCACAGAACTCTTGTCGAGAACGGCCTCCGTGAGCGCGTGATCTTGCGTGCGGACGGTGGCTGCCGCTCTGGCCTTGACGTGATCCAAACTGCACTCATGGGTGCTGATGAGTACGGTTTCGGTACCGTCGCCATGATCGCCACTGGTTGCGTCATGGCGCGTATTTGCCACACCAACAACTGCCCGGTCGGTGTCGCATCCCAGCGTGAAGAACTTCGCGCGCGTTTCCCGGGCGCTCCGAGCGACCTCGTCAACTTCTTCCAGTATGCTGCTCAAGAAGTGCGTGAGATCCTCGCCTCCATGGGTTACCGCTCCCTCGACGAGGTCATCGGTCGCAACGACTTGCTCAGTCAAATCGACAAGGCGCCGTCGAAGACTGGATCCCTTGACTTGTCCTTCCTCACGACTTCCTCCGGTGAGTGTGGTGCGTCAAGCGATCGCATCAACCAGCCGGTGCACAACGACGGCGTCGTTCTCGATGACAAGATCCTCTCCGATCCGGAGGTGATCAAATGCATCGAGACCGAAGGTACGTTGGTGAAGAAGGTTGAAATCGTCAACATCGATCGTGCCGCGACCGCTCGCGTCGCCGGTCAGATCGCGAAGAGGTACGGTGACAACGGCTTTGCTGGTTCCCTCACCCTAGACATTGAGGGTTCTAGTGGTCAATCCTTCGGTGCGTTCGTTGTTGGCGGCATGAAGGTGCGACTTGTGGGTGAGGCTAACGATTATGTCGCGAAGAGCATGAGTGGTGGCGAAATTGCCATCATGCCGCCGTCGAACTCTCCGTTCGCGCCGGATTCGGCGAGCATTGCCGGTAACGCGTGCTTGTACGGTGCCACTGGTGGTCAGGTGTTCATCAGTGGCCGTGCCGGTGAGCGCTTCGCCGTGCGTAACTCGCTCGGTGAAGCGGTCGTAGAAGGTACTGGCGATCACTGCTGCGAGTACATGACTGGTGGCTGCGTCGTCGTCCTCGGTCCGGTCGGACGCAACGTGGGTGCGGGTATGACGGGTGGTATTGGTTACTTCCTCGACGAGGATGGCGCGTTCCAAGCGAAGGTCAACGGTGAGATTGTCGCCATGCAGCGCGTCTGCACGCCGGCTGGTGAGGCTCAACTCAAGGGTCTCATCAGTGCGCACGCTGAGAAGACGAACTCTCCGAAGGCGAAGGCTATCCTCGCCGACTGGGCCTCCTACTTGCCGAAGTTCTGGCAATTGGTGCCGCCGTCCGAGGCAAACACTCCTGAGGCTACCAGCACGCCGACGGAAGTTGCCACTACTGCGTAAGCGCGCCAATATTTCATTCCTTAAGCGAAGCACGCGCAGCACAAAGAGTTGTTAGAGAAATACATTCAGTACCATTAAAACGAATCAAAATTATCTAATGCGTCTCGTCGTTTCTCGCGCGCGTGATAGGAAATGTGATGTGCCGTCGAGGGAATTAGCCAGAGAACGCCTCAGCTGCCTTCTTCAAATCGTTCCAGAGGTTAGTTTCGACGTCCACGACACCGGCGGCTTCATTTGCCTTGGCCAGAGCGTCACCGCGTTCCCCTGGGAGGTTGATTTGGTCGACGCCTGGTTGCTTCGGCGCGTTCTTGACGCGGTTCATGACAAACGCAGCGTTCTTTTCAAAGTCCGCTTGACCGAGCATCTTCGGGTCGATCACCATGATCAAGTTACCCCAGTTCTTCGCCGTGAGCTTGGAATCGATGGCGGCGCCGACGAGCGGGCCAGCGAGGAGTTCGATGATCAAGGCCAAGTTGCTGCTCTTATAGCCGCCATCAAAGGTGCGAATGGCGCCGCCGTCGACGACTTCGTTCGGATCCGTGGTCATCACGCCGTTCTTGTCTTGAGCCGCACCTTCCGGAAGCTGGCGACCAGCCGTCTTGGCCTCGAGGACTCCGAACCAGCTGTACGCGCTCGTTGCCATGTCGAGCACCATGGAGCCTTGCGAGGACGGCATGCCGACGCCGATCGGGTTGGTACCAAAGATGCCCTTGGCCGCGCCAGCCGGAGCGACGAACTCCGGGGATTGCGCGAAGCACAACGCGATCATACCCTCGTCCGCAACCTTCTTGACGTAGTATCCGAGTGCACCGGTGCTCGTGAAGGTGTTGCACGTGCCGCAGATGCCGAAACCATGCTCCTTGGCCTTTTCGTGCGCGATGCGCGTCGCCTCCGCGAGCACGATCATGCCCTGCGTCTTTTGACCGTCGATCGCCGCCGAGAGCTTAGATTCATGCGTGATCTTCATCGGCTTCGCCTCCGGGTCCTTGGCGAGGCCGTTCGTCGTGACCTTGATGATGCCTTGGTTGTTCCCGCGAAGCTGCGCGTACATCAAGACGTCCAAGATGACCGCGGCGTCCTTCTCGTCGTACCCGATCCCGCGAATCGCACGGAGCGTCGTGGACTTGAGTTCATCGATCGGGACCTGGGTCGCCCCCGCGGTCGCCACCGCCGCGCGGACCGTCGTCGAGCGCTTCGCGGTGCGCTTGGATGACTTCGTGGACACGCGCGTGGTCTGGCGAGAGACGAGCGCTTGGGACTGCGTGAGGGCCATCATCTTCGGTGTGATGGACGTGGTTCGGTGGGTGCGACGGACGTGCGTCTGATGCGATGAAGTGTGCGGCGTCGCGCGACGTCACGCGCCCGTCGTCGACGTTCGATGGGTCGAGAAGAGTGCTATCCAATTCAGGGGGGTAACCGTCGAGGGCCCCCTTGGCGCGGTCGGGCGATTCGCCGACGAGTCATGAATCGTCGCACAAGGGGACTCGATGGTGAAAATAGTGGCATCGCGTAAATAATTATCAAATGAATACGATCATTATTATGAATCGTGAACCGTGAATGTGTCTGTTGCTCGATGAAAATATACCCGCAATGTCATATTGACAACCCCCCGTGTTCCGCGGCTAAAGAAATTCCCACGTATTGTTCACATCAAGCGTTCATCGCACCAGTAAAGCACCCGTTCCCATCAGCACACGGAAGTTAAGCCTGGTTGTGGCTGATTAGTACTACCGAGGGAACTCGGTGGGAATCCCGGCTGACGCTTGGTTTCTCTTTTGGTTTCATTGGGTCGTTCGGACGGTGTCCTCACGGTGTGGTTTCTCTTTTGCCTTCGCGAAGCGACGCGCCGAAATTCTCAGTGAAAAAGTGCTTCGGATGACGTCTCTCTTTGTTACACTCTATCGGCGTAGAAAACTCGTGGGGCAAATCTACGCGTCATCCGTCTTGTAGGACACCCCCGCCTCGATCTTGTGAATTTTCGTGCTAAACGATCGTAGACGCATCTCCACCCCGTCGCGAACGTACTTCGGATCGCTCTCCTCGCACTCGTCCGGCGTCGCGCTCTCTTTATCCGTGTACGCCAGGAGCTCGAACGCGCACTCTCGGTCGAGCAGAGGCAAAAACGACACCGACGCCGTGATCTGACGGATGATCGCCTGAATCTCCTGCATGATCTCCTTCTCCGTCTTCTCCGTCTTCATCGTTTCTTCTCCGTTTGCGTCTCCCGCGTTCTCCCCGTCCCGTCTCGTCTTGCTTCCATCAGTCTGCACGTCGAACGCCCAACGCTCCACCGTCGCCCCCGTGCGCGCGTCCGCGAGCACCAGCACCAGCTTCCTCAGATCGCTCTCCATCAACCACTGATCGACGCGCTCGAGGACGTTCACTAAGTACTCCCTCAACTTCGGTTCCGAGGTCACCATGACCCCTATCCCGTACTTGCTCTTACGCTCGAACGACTCGGGCGGATACACCCCGCGTTGGTACAGCACGCTGTTCACGGCGTACCCGAAGAACTCGACGACGTGGTCGGTGGAGCCCCGCAGCGCGATCGCTTTCGACGCGGGCTCGGTGGACATCGCGACCGGGGCGCGAGGCGTCGCGGAATCGCGACGCGACCGCGAGCGACGCACGCGACGAATGCGGATGACATTTAAAAAGCTCACCGCGCGGTGGCGTCGTCGACGTCTCGCATCGACGGTCAAAATCGTCGCATTCCGACCCGTCGTCGTGGGACGTGTGCGTTTTACACCACGACGTCCGAGCCGCGTCCGATGAAGACTCTCACTTTGCCTATGAAAAAGCACAAGGTCTCTTAAAAAACGTAGAGTACGTGAGACGCACCCGCGTCCGCCGTCGACGCGCCCGCGCGCGCGCGCGCGATGTCGCGCGCGACGTCGCTCGACGGGCGTCGCCTCGCG